CACACCAACTCTTTTGACCTAAAGAAACTAGATGTTATGTAAGTAATGAAAACATTATCAGCTAAATTTGGTTGGACAGCAATACAAATTAAACACAGCAGGTTTTCACTACTTCTTGAAAACAAAATCTTGTGCCGAGCGAGAATGGTTTGTGGCCTATTCTCAAAGGAATATACATATATCAAATCTGTTGGACACGAACAGTTTCAGTTCACATTATTCCAAGGTCGTTTTCCATCCAAAAGACTCGGCCCTTAGCACTTTCAGAATAATAATAATAATAATAATGACACCGTTCCATTAACCACCAACCAGCTCGTCTTTCCAAGTCTTGCTGGAGTTTTTGAAATTAGGATGGAAATGGAATCAGGCTTTTTTGTTTTTAATAAGGAGCCATTAACGACATAAACAACATCGACAAGAAGCGAGGCGAGATCTTCTACCTGCCGTGTAATGGCATGGAATATTTCCCCATGATGTTTTTACGACATCTTCAACGTAATAAAATGATCCTGTTGTACATACAACCAACACACCGTCAACAGCGCAATAACTGTACGAAACCTTTAAAAGTTAAACTTGTACTCGAGCATTTCATAATTCATTCACACGAAAAAGTCGAAATCCGCATTAATATATTACAACCGCTTAAAGCACAGACAGGCTGGAAGTCATAACAATTCAAATTCGTATGCATTACTTAAATTCAAGATCCAAATGATCCAATGAACAAAATCATGCTAAAGGTATGCATGTTGTGTCGAAAACATGAACATTCACGGTCGGTCCCATATTTGAAGAGATATGAAAATTGTTATCATCACCTACCCAATTTTTAAATTCAAATTCAATTGTTTGATGCAGCGGAGATGAGCTGAAACCTTAGATGTCGAAAATCGACTAAAAATCATAAAAAAGATGAAGGATTATTATCAAAAGAAGCACAAGTTCAAGGACTGAGTGCCAATAAATAACATAATAATTTTATATATACGAAAGATAAAAAACGCTGGCGTTGATTTATATGCACTTAACGATCAAAAGAAAATACAGACATCAGGTAATGCAGTGATGGAGTAAAGAATGAAGGAGTAAAAAGAAGTACTGCCTCCCTCACCGGGTGCCGGTGCCATCAAGACAGAAGCAAGAAATGGTGTCTACAAGATATTTCTGATTTCAAAATATTTCCTGGAATCATTTGATCCAAGTCTGGATTTAAGGTTGTAAAGAGAGAACAGTGAATGGGAGGAACGTTTGTTGGTTGGATTGGAAATAATAAATTGAAGTTGTGGTTCTTGGTGGCTGGTGGTGGGTTGAGGAAAGGGACGACTGAAATTGTTGTTCACCTCCTCAAGGAATCCTTGTAAATATCCGCATGCATCAAGCTAATAACTTTCTTAAACCCACTTAAGCCTGGCAACGCGATATATTGAAAATTGGAAACTGCTGCTGTCTTAAAAGGTCGATTTATCCATTATCGGGAGAAATTGAAGAAATACAGGCACGTAGAGTGCCTTTATATAAAGCTGCAAACAATAGGAGAATAAAGGACCATTATTTATCGTCAGGGTTTGGGAGTATCAATCATTCATACCATTTGGCATGGGGAAAATAACTGTAAGGTACTTAATTCCTTATAGAATGCCGCACAACCAAAGGTCAACATTCTGCCAGGTTCAAACTCCCTTGAAATTGAAATACGGCTTGATACATGCGCAGTCGTACGTATACAGATATATCGAAAAGAAATGAGACCAGTTCATAAAATTTATACTGAAACATGCACGGTGTTTGCATATAATTAGAAACATTTCTAAATATGTACCTAGGCAGGTCTACATGATATGCATGTACCATACGCGTACATTCTTTTAACCCAATAGTTTGTCAATTTGCAAATCAGTCTTCATGATGAACTATATAAAAAAGAAGAAAGGATCACCCCTAAAGCAAGGCTTATGATTAAACAAGTATATATGAAACAATGAGCGTAAACTTGTGCGTCAAAAAGATTCAAGAGTGTTTACTAAAATTGCGTGTCTCTCAAACAAATGATAAGTGCAAGTCGCAGACTACAGACTACAAGACGCATATAATTCAAAAATATGTATCCGTGACCCTAATCGATATCTTCCTGTTGACCAGTCTAACTTCTAATCAAGGTTACCGTTTCCCTGAAGTCGACAATTCATGACTCGATTATCAGTCACCTTTTTCTGGATGATGGGTCCAGGAGTATGAAAATAAAATTTGTCAGCAATTCTAGAAAACTAGAATCTTTATAAATATCGTATCATGGCGTGCCATCATTATGACAAAATCAGAAGTGTGTGTGGCACAAGTAATTTCTCTCGTCACATAACATTCTTTGACAATATGTCATTATTGTACATTGTGTTGACCGGTGTAGTTTTCAACACGTACATCGAATTTTCCTCAAGTGCTTGTCTGGCAACTTTGTGAGACACGAAGCTAGGAGTTTGTGTAAAAATGTACCTCTAATAAGTCAAACGGTTCCCTGTATTCCAATGACTCGAATGTACCATTCGAATCTCAATTTATTTGATAAATGCCGCATTAATTAATTTAAAAGTAAACACTCCTGAACGTGTACACAACTTAAGAGGCAGGATTCCAAATGAGTCACAAAAAGAGGAGAAAGAAAAAAGTTGTAAAAAATCGAGTTTGAATGGAAAGTCTTCAGGGAAGTAATGAGACTGAATTGAATCGACCTTAAGTGCATAAAAAAACCGCAAACATCTGTGAGAGCAAATTGATGATGGGAAAATTTTCGTTGCGATGAAAGAATGTACATGTGTACCAAATAAAATGACAGATTCAACAAGATTGGCTCCTTGCCACCCAATTCATCACTTTGAAACCGTCTTAATATCAAACCGTTTGATCCCGCAGCTCATTCAGCGAACGTGACAAATGTTTTGAACAAGATGTGATAACAACATGAGTATAAAGTTGAGCAAGTAGAAAACATAATGCATACGTACGAACGACCCAGACATTTTACGTTTCGTTCTGTGTGTGAATAACAAAAATTTACAAACATGCACATTATAATAAAAATAATATAAATTCACATTTCCCTTTGATTTCGTCTAAAGTTACATTTGTGAATATCACTTGGGTTTGCACGGCATCAAGTCACTGTAAGTTCCAGTAAACCAGCCGAGCTTACAGACATTTGGAAGCAGCAAATGTTAATTCAGCACTTTTTGAGCTACATATATGATACACATTTCACAACATGTAATAATGATTTTATTCCAAAGAAGCAAGGTCTTGACCCGTGAAATCAATGGAACAACAATACAATAAATTTGATCAAAATGTTCTTTCAATGAAACCAACACTTTAAATAATGTGACTTTAAAGAATAAACAAAGTGGCATAATGCATATGTAGCTAACTGTAACGGCCAGACTAAACCCAAGACTTTTATATTTGTTTACATTAAAAATCCGTGACAGTCCAATTCATGATAATTATTTAATCGGAAACGACTTATTGGCACCAATCTGACCATCTGACTATTGATCAAATTCAACCCCTTCTACACACATACGTGCGTCATGTATTCACATATATGTATGTACACTAATGTAATGCATATTTCCTTCCCGAGTACCTAAACCCTTCCACTCCTCCGAGCTAACTACAAATCAACTAAATAGGATCAAGAATCTAATAGATGAAGTAGAGAAGAAATACATTTCTCATCATGTTCATATCAAAAGCCAGCACCACCATATCATTATCATTATTATGATTAAGAGGCAACCACCACCAGAGAATTTTCTTGTCTACAACAGCAAAGAAATAAAATGAGTCAGCGTCACATCAAATTCAACAAACAAGCAACTAAACCAACCCATAATTTGATTAAGTTGGTTCTTGGAACCAAAAAGGAGTCATATAAGTTTTATATCAATCAGAATATCCAACAACAATAATTCAGTGAGCCATAATATTCACAATGATAAAATAATAATAATAATAATAATAATATAACTTTGAGCTGTTGAATATTCTTGATATTTACTGTGCACGATATGATAATAATCGACAATTATAATAACCTTGAGCTTTTTGATGTGATGAGCTGTTTTCCAAAATATGAGGCGAGACACAACTGCTTTACGTGATCACATACATAATTGTTTATCCGTTATTTTTATAAGAAAAGTGTTCGGCACAATTAACACAACTAAACACGCTGATCAAGTGAGACAACGGCGAATGATGTAATATACACACATGAACTGAATGCCGTTTAGAATACTGCAATTATAAACTTGAAGAAAGATTATGTTTGATCAATTAGCAAAGATTAAAACGACAAAATGGGTTTCTCTTTAAAGTGCTAATGAATTTCATCACATATTTCTTGTCCATTATTCATTCTCTCTGTTCACGATGGTTGGAACTTTGGTACTCGAATGGCTCAACTTGTGTAGTGATTACTTTACTTTGCAAAGGAGAAAAACGATCTTTTGATACAACAAAGCTATTATGGACATCTACACATGTAGCAGGATTATCATTGCATATCTTTCTCAGATTTGTTTTCTGCAGCAAATAGCGACACAATATCCTAAGGATGAATAGTTTAATAATATTATTATTTATTATTGTCTATGACACCCAGTATTATGCCGATATCATTGAAAAGTGGTTCAAGAATACGTATCCACTTTGCAACCCTAGTATCAAACGGAGGTGTTAATTAGGTATGAAATCCCGTGATCACATACTCATCCTACTGTGAGTACAAAGCTCCATCTCAATATAACATGATGCTAGTTGACTAACTTAATATATAAAAATGAGAAAAAATTAGCAATATACAGAACAACTAAGGCTGGCTGTGTATGTATGTAAGTATGTATGAACCTGCCATTTACTACTATGATATTCTCATGTAGAAATGCTGCTAATTATGAATTAATGAGTCAAGTGTAAGACAAATTAATGATAAAACTTACCAGAGAACCTTCAACTTCACTTTCATGGTGGTTCTCCATGTCAGATGGGTAGCAGGGGACCGGATCTCTATTTTTCACCCGAATTTTGGAAGCGTTAATGGTTTCAGCCCCACGGGAAAAAATACCCACTCAAATGGGCTGCGAATTCCTTCCTTCCTTCCTTGTCAAGATGTAGCTAGTCAATTTTTCCTTGGACCATGTCCCAATATGTGGAGAACAATATCCGGCTCGATCGAACAAATTAAGGACTTCCTTCAACAGCTTCAATTCTGCAGGGAGTGCGGACGGGGAAGTTGAGAATCCGGACTTGTAGCTGAATAATTTAATCGGGCGAGTTTAGTTTTGAATGAAAGTGCTGATCAGTTCCGTCAGCGATGTAACAAATTATTCTGCTTCTTCGAGTACATGGAAAATGTCAGGGAACTTTGGCTCAAGAATAAACAAGAAACAAATAAGTCAACGTTCTGCACGGCCTGTTGTTTTACTCCTGGTGCGATGTATTTATTTGATGACTTTACTAAATTCAATGTAGTACTATATGAGAGGCAGTAATTAATGATTTTAATTCACAACTTATGCAAATTACTATATCAAACTAAGCTTCCCAGTTGAGTTTCAAAATTCGAATAAATTGCTTTCTCCGTGAAATGAACACAATTTAACAGACAGAAATGCACTCGCAAGATTTCAGTCGTCTCTCTCCATACGATCAAAGATGTCTGAAATTTGAATGATTATATGGGAGCACGATCATTGAACTGCCACGAAAATCTTTAACTTTGTCCTGATCCAACAGGATGATATCACTATCGTCGTATCAATTTCTTACAGTCTCGTTCTTATTGGGTGAATAAATTAATTTCCTTAATTTGAAGAGATCGGTGATATTCAAATCAGGTTGATCAATGCTGTTTGGTTGGCAGAAGAGTAAGTAGTTAAATTGATTTGGTTGACCTCAACAAGGACAGTCTCAAAACCTGAGAAGAAGGGAGGAGGAGGATGAGATGAAGATGATTATGATGCAACGTGATAAATAAATCTGCTGCGAGTAAGTAAATGCTTTGAAATGGTAGTGGATTCAGAGGACTTGCTTATTATCGTTGCTGACTTACTGAGAGGTAAATAATAAATGCTGGTGCTGAACCTCGTGTCCTGTTGAACAATGGTGACGAACTGTGATGATTATATGATGTTGGCTGGTAGTACGAGTTGAATGAAAGGCAATCTTACTTCGGGTGGCAGGCAAGAAGAGAGAGAGAGAGCGAGGGTTGGTCCCATAAACGATGACGCTATGCACGCCACGCCACACACTCGCAGACGAAGAATAGAATTCAACAACAAGTACTCGTATTATTGGATGGATCAACATGATTGTTGGATTGAGCCTGTGATAATGTTTATCAAGGCTCTCTCTGTAATTAGTCTAATGATCATGATCTGTAATCCTAATTGACTAAATTCCATACGCCAGTATTTCCAATTTATTGATTACGAGATTACGACTGGATTTTAATCCATGCAAACTGATGGATAAACGACGGGGGAATGTATAATATATACTAGCCAACTTTGACTGAATACCTTACATACGTAGAAAGTTGCAATAATTAATAAAATAATTATACAATGCGCAATAACTATACAGAAATAACTGAAAATGATTGATTTTTTAGAAGATGGCGTGCTTACCAGTGTATTATGAGTCGTTATTTTTATAGCAACATACTATACAGAATTTTTGGCTGAAGGGGGGAAAGTTGGATAGGAAGGGTTGCGAGGAGAGGGTATGATTTGATATTTTCTCCAGTAACGCCTTCAATCCATTTCATTGGGCTCTATATTCGAGGGAGGACCGTGTGTGGAATCCGATTGGAGATGGGAACGACTCGACCTGTTGCGTAATACCCGTCTGTCCACCTCTGCGATCAAATTCCTTTTATAGAAGCTTCCCCAATTCCATGAACCAAGCCAACCTGCAACATTTATTTATCTACGAATGATCCGGCCTTACTGCATGCATAGCCTGTCTGATGTCATGGCATTGATCTGATTGATCTCATCACAAAAAAACTCTATCATCCAATTTAAAGGAGAATCCGTAACCCATTGGGCTCGCTCTCATCATTCTCTTTGCTATGGGCAGTGTGGCTTTAAATTAAAGCCTTTAATACCGTATCATTCTGGTTGCTATTTATTTACATAAAGTATGTCAGAATTAATATGACGATTAGAATGCAAAATATCGCACAATTGATATTTTATTTACAAGAACTGTAGATCTTTATTACCCAGATACGTTACTTTCATCTTTATCATTCAGAATAATAATTGAGCTGATGTCTACTTGACGATTTTACGTCACTAATAAAACAGATTTTTTTTAGTTCAAATGAGGAAGAAATTTAAAAGAGGATATAAAACGCTTACGCTGCGTTTCTCAAGTTTTAAAATAAAAATCGGCCAAAAACCACATTTTCGCTGCATCAATACCAATGACACTAACGTGAAACAATAAGAATTCAAAGACGGACCACGATTTTCTAGTTGTATGATAGAGACAATCAAAACCATTTCTTATTATTATCATATTCGTAAAACACACTTTGTGAGGCTTATGCCACATGGGTAGAATTGGATATCAAGGAATGCATACACTTAATTTCATAACTTCTAATCATTTTCCAAAGGTATTCAGCATAGGTCTCGGGTCACACGGTCTTTCCATTCCTTAATCTGAAGTTCTGGAACCAAACTGATCTTGTTTAACCTATTTCTACCATATTTTGAATACACAGCCTGAAATTTAAATTCAGTAACGGTTAAGTACTATACATAAATTTACAGCACAATGAATCTAGGAAAAATAAATTTACCTTAAGTTTAGGAGGTTCTTCATGTACTTTTGCCAACATACATGCGACTGGAGTTAGAATTGGTTTTAGAGCATCTAGAGAGAGCCTTGTGTGATGCTGTAAAGCGGAGTTCCACAGCTCTTGGAGAGGTTTAGTCTTGTGTATTATGCTTAAAAAAATGCAAAAACGTTAATCAAAATTGTTAACTTCACGTCATATTTTTAAAAAGAAGGGAAATAGTACAGCAATGCGAGAGCCAAAGCCGCAGCAGCTTGATCCGATGGGTACAAATGACATGTACCGTAATCCACAAGAGTCAATTCCATAATGTATTTTGCCATTGTATGGATCAACAGTGGAGCCTAATAAACAAAATCATCATTAGAAACGAACAATGATTAAACTTCCAAATTTAAACTGAAACATGCGTATTAATTGGCACTTGTTATTTTGCATGTGTATGTACATATGCATTACCCCAGCGGCTTTGGAGAATCTTCTCAGAAAGAATACTGCGGGAGGGGGAGCAAGATCGTACTCCAATGATTGCAATATTTCCTTTTCCATATGTCGAACTTCGGTAGAACTAAAAGCGTTGTCACTAACTGCAGAAAAGTCAATCACAGTAGGAGTACACACTTCTTCAAATTTTGCAGCCACGTACAAGGCTGTAACTCCGACAAGTTGAAGTTGTTTCCTCGTGACTTTGCGTTCTTTCTGCAAAGAATTATTTCCAATTTTATAGATACTTACTATATTCAATAAATAAACCAAACTGACTAAGTACCTGCAAGTATCGGTCCAACGTTTTTGCAGCCATGTACAGGGTTTCTGGCATAAATCCGAACTGGTAATGCACCTCCACAAGCCAATCCAACAAAACAGCACGCATTTTAGAATTAATCAGTCGACCTTCAAGATACCTAATTTTGATGGGGTACTTTTTCTGTAATAATTGCAAGATATTTTAGACATATTTGAAGTCATTCAATAATAGCACATTGCGTAGCAATTTTATAGTTCTGCATAAACCCTTACTTCCAAAATGAATAAGTAATCACAAATGTCTTGAATGTACTCTCTTAGAAGCAATGGATTTTTACCATCTTCGGCATCAATATCAGGAACATCAAATCTCTGACCGGAAAAAACAGCGACTTCATTATTTTCTTTAATACTAGTTGTTTTATCAGAAGAAGAGCTCTCCGTCTTCAGCTCTTCAAAAACTTCATTTGTTGGAGCATCGCAAGCTTCCAGTGGTTGAACTTCAGTACTTTTGCTAGTTTCTGGAACGCTAACTTCCTTTTGTTGCAACTTATCTTCGTAAACTACAGTTTGTGCTGGAAGTTTCTTCTTGTCACCAACCACAGCGTTGAGAGATTTGAGGATTCCGTCCTTGAGACTAATGTGACTTTGACTTCTGATAACAAAAAACATAGATTTGTCAATTATGTAATTAATTAAAAAAAAATAATACTAACCTGTTTTGCAAATTTCCTAATACTTTGACGCCTGCATCATTTTGGACATTGGTTTTTTTGTTTGTTCCTTGGTTCATCGAAGCTGAACGAGTTAATTGTGGTTGTGGCTTTGCATTTTCTTGGCGATTTTGTGCGGCCGGTTTGGGAAGTCGAGGAACAGCAAAGGCCGATGCTTTCGAAGCACCAACTCCTGGTTTAGCAGTCGCCTTCATTGGTCCCAAAGGCTTTCCCGGTTGTGCTTGGCTTGTTCCTAGGTGTTTCTTCATTCGATTCCCTATATCTCCGAGCACCCTAGCTCCACGTAAGGCTCCAGGGCCACCTTGGTTCTCTTGTCCCTTAGCAGGGTTATGCGTTTCTGCGTTATCAGCCCCTACAGTGGAAATCTGCAATTTTATCCAAAATAATTTTTAAGTAAGATTATGTTCTAAAATACTTGCCATATGTCGATTCTAATGGCAGCACAGGGATAAGGTACTGGAGAATGAATGCGTTAATATGAACAATCGCATATGTAACTACTTACATGCTAAGACATTTAGGGGCTTGTGCTTGGTTTTCTAGGATAATGGATAGGGATATAGGAACGAGATGAATTATTTAAATTTAAAAATTTGGATGGGACAGAAATCTGAATGGAATGATAAAGAATTTACGTATACCAGCTTAGATTAACCCAGTATATGTGTGCATATATACATATATATGCATATTATCTGCTATCACTAAATATCTAGTTTTCTTGACAAACAGTTCAATTCCAACTTTTTGGGGGCAATTATAATTATAAAATTACAAGAATCGAACTCTAGCCCTGATAAATAGTGTTAAACCATACCATGTATCGACAAGTTATACACTTACCGAGGACGACGAGAGTGCACGGGTCCGAAGGGAAGCCATTGTCAAAACGGGTAATTGATGTTACGTAAAATTTCAAAGTACGATAAATTTCGGTCAATCGCCTCAATGATAAACTATTTCCAGTACGTCGGGATAATTAACTTATTGTTGTTGATGGTGTCTGATAAAATGAAACCCGAAATCTTGATTTGTCGCGTCACAGCAGAAAGGTCAGAGTCGATTAGTTACAGTTGGTCACAAAATCTTAAGAGTTATCCACGGCGGTCACGACAATGATGATTGTTTCTGCACAACCGGAAACTATATAGCCCCAAGCCAACAACTCCTAAAATGTTTTATAAAAGTTTCCTCTGGTAAAAATCTTCCTCGTGGGTAAAAATATAAAAGTTTATAAATATTTGTGCGGAGAATAAACTATAGAAACAAAACACAACGAAAAAGACAAACAAAAGTCTGCCCAGCCTCGGCGACCAGACTTGCTCTGGGATGAGGCATATGGAATTTAGAGATATAATACTTGAACAAATGCAGCTTGCTCAATTTGAGTAAGAAATTTTAATATGCAGTATGCTAATTTTAAAATTGTATTTGAATAGATTATTAAGCTTTAAGATCCAACCCAGGATCGTCAACTTGATCTCCTCTGCAAGTCGATGACAAGGAAATATTATAACATAATCTATGTAGGTTTATTACAGTAAAATTATTATAATGACCATTCAATCTGTTTCATTTCTTTCATAAGATTTGCTACAATAGTTATGCAACAAAAGGGCCAGAATACAAAATATTAAAACATAGTAAAGATATTATCCAGTTAAAAGATATTCAAACCTGTCGTGTCTCGTGTCACAAAAGTTTTACTTGTAAATATGAGAATTGTAAAATTAAGTTGTCCCAGATAAACTGTCAATATTCGAAATTTGTCCGGTTAGTTTGAGTAATTATCTGTAATTTCAAGGCAAACACAATTTCTTGAGTACCACCGTTCTATTTCCTTTCAAACAATAATTTAAGTGGAATGTAATTATATTGTATAGTCTTTGTAAATAAAATAAACAATGAAATAATTAAACTTACACATCCAGTTCAAAAGCTCCACGATTGGGAAACACGGCGTATTTCGGAGGGTGGAGAATCTGCATTGTCCAAGAAAACTAATTTTAAAATAGAAACAAAGTATGCAAAGTTTTAAAGGGCAGCAGGAACAGGAGAGCAAGCACCAAGTGATTATATGCTTTTTCATGCGAGATTTTGACCGTTACAACAAATCCACTCTCCCGCAGCACTGAACATGGTGAGAACGGTGGTGAACGAAAAAATCCGATGTCTTCAATATTCCCAGAAATATGCAGGGTGCAGTTTTTTATGAGAAACAAATAATAACTTGATGGTAACAATAAATATGTACGTAGGTAGGTTCCATATATGCATAAATCCAAGTATCCTTACCTTAATGAAAGGACCTTACGATGCAATTCCTACCTGGCAAAGGGTTCCATTCCATGTGGCAGATCTAAATATGACTCCTACTGGTGAGCCGACCATTTTCGAACTTGATTTCTAAAATATAGCTACTACTTAAATACTACCATGTCGGTTACAGTCGCTATCGTTAGGACATGACTTTCATAAGCTTTGGCTCTGCCAAAAACTGACCTTTTTAGAAAAATGTTTCATGTAACTATAAATACTATGATAATTATATACTAAGGCTTGCCTATTTTAAGAAGAAAATGACATACATATATGACCGACCTGCAATATGTATGTCATTTTGTTCTTAAAATACTAGACCTTAGTAAGATCTGATAATTACTACAATACCAGATTTTTTATAAAGCATGAGAATCGCTACAAATTTCGCATTATAACACTGAAACATTTTGTGAAACCCTGTAAAACATTTTCCAGGAAGGTATAAACTTGTGTGGCAACTTTGAAACAAAAACAGTTCTTGTTGGTAAATAATCAAAAAGTGGATGTGATGTGTGTGTGAGTTGACAATACACAATAGTATGTGAAGTACATAACAGGTAAAATATATAAGAATAAAAATACTTGAATTGAGATTCGATTAAAAATTGTCAGTATGTACGCATATGACAGTGTGTGTAGAAATCTTTATCGCCGAGTGAAGTGTACTATATCGGCGTTTGAGAAGTAATTAAGAAAGATCAATGTGAGCGAATGTAATTATTTCCAGGTGCCTTATCGACAGTGCAAAATTTATAAAGGTGCAAATACATGTGTGCGTAAGCATAATGATAATGCATGGATTGAACTGATCGAAAATGATGGACACAGAACACTGACTTTTCTTAAATAAAAAGGTACATCAATTGGTTTATTTATCATATTTCTTTGTTACAGTAAAATGATGAACACAAGCCGTGATTCACATGCATGCTCATTATTACATATTAGAATAGTGGGAAAAATTAGCACTACACTTTACATTTGGAATACACTAATTAAAAATACTATGCAAATGCACCGGAAATTCAAATTAATTATTCAATTATAAGAAATCAACTACTATACCGCAGTGGATACATCTTTATTTGATGCTACAATGGAAACTTCGTGCATGTTTGAATGACAAAGTGCAGTTGCTTCTTCATCATTACCCCATTTTTCCTTTTCTTTTCTTGATAAGCGTCGAATATAGGGGGCCGAGAGCTTATTTTCCTCTACGTTGCTCATTTCCTTGAAATGACCTTTTGTCGTCGTGGAGCTTTTGGCAGGACTTCTTACGCTGCTTTTGGGCTGGAGGGTCTGAATTCTATAAACCAAGGGAAAACCAAACACTTTTATTAGCTCTTTGTGCATTCATAAATACATCTCAAGCGCTCAGGTCAACTCAGGTGTGGTGTGGCTGACATGTAAATCTGAATTAAATCAGTACTTCATGACTTACGCATTTCGCAACTGCTTCAAAAGACTATTGAATGCTTGGTACTCTTCTTCTCCAAATAGTTTAGGGTTGAATCGTGCAGCTTCGTAGAGATCGCACAACTGGTGAACAACTCGAGGGTCGACTTGTGGCGTCAGAATAACAATGAAGTAGGACCTTAGTAATGCACACTATGCATGTATTTTATACTATGCATATTATCTTAAAAATTGAATTGCTTACCTTAAACTTTCGAACGTATGTCTTTTACCCAGCTTTTTCTTCTGCATACTCAATTCTGTATAAGGAATAATGTTTTTAAGTTTATCAGAAATCAGTTTTGTTGCTCAACGCATACATGTCATATGGGCATAATTTAAAATATCTACATGCATACATATTTGTACTTTAAACCTACCTAAACTCTTTGCCTCGTCAATCGCCTTCATTCGATAGTAGTGACAAGGTTTCTTGGCGTTCTCGTCTTGTGAATATTTCAGCTCTACATCTTCACGGAGCATTTGCGGTTCATACGTCACCTTTGGGATTGCATCAATGCGTCTCAATATTTCTCGTCTCAAGGTCTTCCGGAAAATTAAAATATATAATGTTTAATACATACTCAATCAGAGATGAAACTAAGGACTTATGTAGTTACTTTATTTGCGTCGTATCCGAGAGGCGTATGAGGTCCGCGATGTGATCTCAGAGTGAATCTCATAATTTGTCGTTTAGCGAAAATGAACAAAAGTAAAAATGTAAGAACTCCGCCGGTAATTATGATAACCACGGTCACTGTTGAAAGCTGCTGTGCCATTTTTTTCAACCAGTTATCCTCGTCCATATTTATTGCACCTCGCTGGTGTACTTGATGGAGTGCCTGTGTAATGCGGATAAATATTTTACAATTCACCCTAAAGAAACAAGCGAGAATAGCTTAAAATAATAGCTTAGGTTGCGTAAACCGCGGACTGAAACAAATCTAAGTATATTTTATATTGAAGAATAATGGAACGCTGGTTAGTTCATAGTGGTCATCGATTGTTCAAAACGGTATTTTCCTCAGTGATATAAAGTTGTGAAGTCATAAAATTAAACCTGCTTAATCTATGTATTCAATGATTAACATTTTTTATCACTAAAATATTTTCAGGGTGAAATTCTGCACTCGGAAATGGATTCATGCAGCGTCGTGGTCTACTTATATAAGGGGGACCGAAATTTTGAAATTCCAATTCTGGAATCCCTTCACGCGGAAGATGTTTGCCGAACAGTGGCCAAGTTTTTACAATTTCGACCAATTAGTCTGTGCTTATTTTCTATTCGTCTAAAAAAATCTCCGGATATTTGGTTACCATCTTCATTCAAATTCCAACCGGATCAAACGCACTATGTAGAGTTCAGACTTCGTTTCAAAATTCCATGCTTAACAGATCTCAATAGATTGGATGAGAATGCATTCGATTATACTTTCCATCAAATTAGACACGATCTTCTGCAAGGACATATTCCTGACATTTCCCAGGACCAAGTAAAGTCAGAAGCCTTGGGATTATGTGTTACCGATATGTTACGATTGATTCAAGAAGAAGCAATGACTTTGGATTACATAGAAGCAAACTATAAGCAATTCATCCCCAAGTCAATCTACAGGCAGCACAAGTTTTTCCTCAAGAAGAAAATTCACGACACGTTGGTCAAGCTGGTTGAGAGAAGCCGGCCTCAAAATTCCAACTACATTAAAGAACAATACATAAGTCAGGTGGAGGAGCTAGCTCCAAGGTAAGCTCAAAATGACGCAGAACTTGCTCTGGTGAAACTTATTTTCTTTTGTATTTCAGATATTTTGCAGAAGAATTTTATGCCATGACCTACAAGCAAGCAGAATATCCAGCGACAATACGAGTCAACGTGTACCACACCAAAGAACCTGGCGTGTCTGTTGCATACATGGGAAAGCACAATGTAAATAAATTAAAGACATTTTACAGTTTTTAACAAATACATCTATCATTGTATATTTACGTTGTTCATGAAATTGTCTAACAAAAAAAAATTGTCAATAGTGGGATCATATCTGCACCATTGAAGATTTATGTTTCATTTCAATTCGAGGAGACTGCACTGCCGAGATTTCAAGGAAAAACGGGATTCCAATTTGTTTCAAATTTAAGTCACAAGAACTTGCCCATTCATTCGTGTCCATGCTGGATGGATATTATAGACTGAGCGAAAAATGGACTTTTAATCTGTGCAAAGAGCTACCTACCCCTTCACTAAGCAAGCTAAAATTTATGAAATGCCACGGTCCGGTTGGGTAAGATACATATATACAGAATACTTTAATAAGTCTACGACTAATATGTGAATGACGTAGTGCAATTAATATTTGATCTTGATCACATATTTAAATTTAAATGTTCCAGAGACAAATTTGCACATCAGAAACTCACAACTATGCCAATTACAAAATGTGGATCATTTATTCTAAGGGAAAGTTCAAAATCATTTGACAGTTACTGTATTGATTATTTGGGACAAAACAAGTAACTTTAATAAACAACACATATTTTTAAGTTGCAGATATCAGAAAGGATAATTATAATCATAAAAGCATATCATATCATTACAGAAATCGTCCCTTTAGTTGTGAAATCAATGGCAGCGCTGACGGAAAGTACACCATAAAAAATGCAGAGTCGGACAAATATTTCACTACATTGTCTGAGCTTGTATCCTACTATATGACAACAAATGACGGGAAATTTGTTTTAAAAGAATGTCTTCCACCATCAGAATATGGTAAGTAGTGTTAAGTGTGTGTTTTGTTAAACATCTAGTTTATTATAACAATTATACAGTCATTATTTATAAAAATTTCAGACCAATCCCCACTATTGCTGTGTCGCAAAAGAGCTTCCAAAGACATTAGAATAAAACCAACTCATAAATTAGAGTCGACCAGTAGTACCATCACGGGACCTCAAATTATTGTGGTAAAAAATTTGCAAGTGTTTCGTGGAAAGCGATTTGAGCTAGAAGGGACCATGTGCAACGTTTACAAAGGAGTGTGGAAGGAAAGCCAGACACATAGCTACGATATAGCGATTAAAGTACTAAAGAAGGAGCACGAAGAAAAGAAAACTAGGGTAGGTGAAAACTGAAAATTGAGGGTGTAATTGCAGATTTGTTAATTTCCATGCCTAAATTCTAACAATAGGAATTCCTTGAAATGGCTGACCGATGTGCCGTGTGGCAATGTGAATCACTGCTAACATTAAGAGGAATAGTTCTGGTTAATCCATTAGCACTGGTAATGGATTGGATGCCATTGGGTGCTTTGGATGTCTATCTGAAAGAAAATGTGCTGCATGTAGAAGTGGCAGAGTTAATAGAAGGTATGCAGGTTGGACAATAAATTTAATCTGACTTGTTATTAGTTATTGTCCAATTGTTTACACTCAATCTTCCTGATAATAATCGATTACGTGTATATATATTTTTTTTAGCCGCAAGTCATATTGCAAAAGCAGTTTGGTTCTTGGTAAGAAATTAAAAGTAAACATTTGTACGCACATATAAGCATGCAGACTGGAATGAACCAAAGCCTCTTTAATGAACAGGAAGACCATGGAATTGTTCACGGAAACATTAGATGTCATAATGTGCTGGTAGCTGAGCACAGCGAGAGCGCATTCATAGTAAAACTTGCGGATCCAAGCATTGTCGAGTACTCTGGTCACGAGTGAGTCTTATTGAACAAATTGAATAATATGGTGTAAAATTATACATAATTCAATTTTCTAGTGTACATTGGATACCTCCAGAATTTTTTGAAATTTCCACCCTTGCTAGAAATTTCATGACTGCTGATGTATGGTCTTTGGGTACAACCCTATGGGAAGTATTTTCCTATGGCGAAAAACCACCTCGGGATCTCCTTCCCGCAATGTATAAATCAGTATGTGAAACCACTAAATAATTTTTGTTTTGAAAGCCGAATTTTACTGAGGTCAATTGTATTTCAATCAATTTAATGCATGTTACAGAAGTATATGTCAGGCTGGAGGCTACCATGCCCAAGGAAATGTCCCCTTGAGTTGTACAGAATTATATCTGAATGCTGGGCAAAAATTCCTGAATCCCGAAAGCACCCTCAAGCTATAGTTCGAGATATTCATCAAATCCTGTACCAACGTAAGTTCAATTCTGAAGCAATACGTAATTATAATAATCCCGTGGTCAAGAAAACATGCCCAAGTAAGGGTTTATGGAACCATCATCTCTTTCTGTTCGTCTGTCTTCCGATAACTCTCATTAAACTCGTCCTATCGACTTGAAATTTGTTACACACGTAGTGTAGGGCAAATGAGGAATTAAGTCCGAAGATGAGCAAAATCAGTGGAACGGTTAACCGGTGGGGTCGTTGGTGCAGAATGTTTGAAATGGTCGTAGAATGCCGATATTCGGGGAATATTTGCGAGAACTAAATAGAAAATATGTTACAATGACCAAATTATTGTTCGCAGGGACACAATAGGGTGACCCCCATTGATTTTCGAAAGTTATCTTAGAAGCCTGAAATTTGGCGTGATCCTGCAGGGGTAAATGTAAAATATGAAGTAAATTTTAAGATTTTTTTTTGCCAGGGGGACCCAACAGGGGACCCGAACTGTTTTTTTTAAATTGGTACAAGAAAAATGAAATTCGATATCAAGGTGCAAGGGTACATAAGACTAAAGAATAAGTTTATGAATATTTTTGTGAGGGGAGCCCAGCAGGGTGGGTTTTTGAAATGAGCCTAAAAAGCTGTAATTTTGCATGCTGGATTATGGAAACGTTTTTGACAATTACGATAGTAATTCAGTAGTTGGTAATGCATCAGGGCCATCCGACAAAAATTTATAAGCTCGGACCCTAATTCTGTGTAAATCAACACTGCACACTGTGGATTTTATTACTAATAACTATAATAATAATAATAATAATAATAATAATAGCCTTTATTACCCTCATTTACTAGTACTAGGGAATGCACAAAAATGAAATTTTAGCATAGCACACTAGCCTATTTTCGTGAGCTTACAAACAGAAATAACTTACTTTAAATGATTAAATAACAATAACTAAGGGCTAAATTACTATATTTAACTTAACAATATATATGTACGTAAGATATTATCTACTCTTAGTCAGAGATCCGTGATTAATGAATTTTTTTGTGGGATTAAGGATTAAGGATTAATGTTATTCCGGGATTAGATTAGTCCAGGATTAATTAAATAATTCAATTTGCTGGGATTAAGGATTAAGGATTAATTCACAATGCTTTTGAATTCGGGATTAAGGATTAAGGATTAATTAATCCTGATTAATTCATGATTAAGGATTAATATAATTTTTATTTTCCTGCACAGAATTATCGACACAGCGATATTAATGTGTCAAATCTCAAATACTTACAAAACGTGCAATATATAGTAGTATTGCGTTAAGTACGTAATAAAAATCAATGTTGGAATAATATCCCCGCCAATTACGGCAAGTTTTGGTGCACAAGCTATGCCCCTGGCCTTTACAGAGCCACAAGACTTGTCAAGTTCTTCGACATCAAAAAATGTGCCGGTCAAAACGAATGGCAAACCTTTCAGTTCAGTTAGATTCCTGTTCGCCATGATTAACGATTGAATCAGTACTTTTATGGAAGCAACAATATAAAGTTAAAAAATATAATGCATGCTAGATAATTTCAGGAGAGGAAAGTAGAAAGAATGGAAAAATATCACATGGTTGAGAATAACTGTTACCTTGCTCATTCGCAGTATTAATCTCTCGTGAGAATTAATCCTAATCACGATTAAGGATTAATAATTTGGGCATGCTTCGTCGGGATTAAGCATTAAGGATTAATGGAGCAAAAATATTTCGTCGGGATTAAGGATTAAGGATTGATTTCACACATTTTTTTGTTGGGATTAAGCATTAAGGATTATTAATCCTTAATCCCAATCCTTAATCCGTTAATCACGATTAATTAATCACGGATCTCTGCTCTTAGTTTGTATAAAGTTAGCTATAATCTATCAAATTTGTTAGAGCTTCAAATGACAAGCCAAAAACCGTGGATTTTGATTTCCATTCGTCATTAATTTTGCTGATTATCATATTAATAGGGGAATTTTTAAATTTTGACGACTTAATTACCGGTTGAAATAGTAAATCCTTGTTTGACCTCAATGACACACCACTGCACGAAGCACGCTGGAATTGCGGCAAAAAGTGCCTATACCTACCAAAAAACAACTTGTAAGCAAATTTATCAAGAGCCAATTCTCTCCTTTCATTTAAAGTTTTCAACTCAGCTTCCTGCATGCATTCAACATAATTTAAATGATCAACTCGTTTTCGGAAAATTATACTTAAAGCTTTTTTCTGAACACTTTCAATTTTGTAAACTAATTTCTGGTTCAAGCCAGAGCCAAACACAACTGAACAATACTCAAGATTACACCGAATATATGGTCAATTAATTTCACTAAGACTTAATTAATTTAATTAAGTCTCCATTAATTTAACTATGGTCAATTAATTTCAGTGATCGGGACAAAAAGGACGCATTCGTATGCAAGCATAACACCGGAATCTAGTGTCAATGGAGCATTTGACACGACCAGTATGTTCAACTGGGGGTCATTTGAATCAGAGAATCAAAATCCAGTAAATTATTCGGATGGGACTCTGAGCACATTTATACACGAGCTTTCTCTTCACTCTGGCTCCAATAGTACGCAACGCACGTGGCTGAATAATTTAACTGTAAGAACCCCAAATCGCTTAACCTAACCTAACCTTACGTTAACAATTATTTATTAGACCGGGTCACCCTCCCCAGACTTATTCTCCGGGTTTTCAGGGACCTACAATGGAAGTATTGGTACAATTTATTCCACTGGGTCAGCACAAGGAATTTATGTATTTGGGTACGTTAAATAATAGTATTAGTATATACTAACTTGCCTTCCTATATATATATATATAGGAAGTTAGGATTATGGTAAATTAATATTTTCCAAAGTTTAAAAATATGTAAAATTGTCTGAAGACGCAAAAGCATGTCAGCATCAAACAGCACACAGTAGAACGTATAATGACGTATTTTGCGTACCACAAATTTTATAAAATCAAAATTTATGTCACTTTTTTCAGAAAAGATCAAATTACGTTGGGGAGAATGATTGGGCAGGTAATAATACCAAGCTTAATGTATTTTTATAATAATAATCAAGACAATCACTAACTTTGAATGAAAAGGGATGCTACGGTGCAGTTTATGTCGGAGAACTAGTCAGGAGTGACGGCTCATCAGAACCCGTGGCAGTCAAAATGATGAAAGAAATGGAGAGTATTCCAGAAAAGGAACAACTAGATTTTCACCGTGAATTCGAAATTTTAAAGGTAGACACATACACACAATTAAACTATCAGTAAACTAATTTACACAAAACATTTTTGTGTATAATTTCAAGAATTTATGCCACCCAAACATTGTTGAGGTTAAAGGCGTAGTAAATGATCCAGGGTTACTTCTAATCATGGAATATCTCCCAATGGGGTCGTTATTAGATTATTTTCGCGTCTGCCACACAAAACCATATGTTAAGCAACTTTTAAAGTTCGCTCAGGATGTTGCAGAGGTAGGATCTTATTGCTTTTGTTATTCAGCATATGGATAAATTTATTCAGTGGAATATTATAGGGAATGGACTATTTGAGAGAAAATAACATTGTGCACAGAGACTTGGCAGGTTTGGAAGAGTTGCAATATCATAATTTAATCAAAGCCCTCCATAAGGCAAACCTTCTTTTCCTTTCCAGCAAGGAACATCTTGGTGGCAAATGAGGACCTCGTTAAAATATCTGACTTTGGTTTAGCAAGATACTGCGATGATAACTGTTATACATTCAGAACAGATCGTAAATTACCCATCAAATGGTAAATGTAACAGTAAATAACTTTAATAGTGTGTAGAACTATAAATTAGAGTTAAGTGTATTATAGGTATCCACCCGAAAGCCTTCAGTACCACAAATCCTCAGAATACTCAGGTAATACATACATCTTGTACTGTTGGAAATCCGTTATTTTAGCCCAACATTGCTCGTAATTATTGTAATATTTTTTCAGATATATGGTCTTATGGTAATCATTTGGATCTATTTATTTTAGTTGACTGACTTTCAGCCAAATTTGATCGTACAGTTGAAGAATTATTGAAAATTGAAATACGTTCTCATTGTGTAACTTTCAAGGTGTGACTCTCTATGAAATTTTTTCTCTCGGAAAAGAGCCGAATCTACCTGGAGCTACCAGTAATGATGTCGAAGTTGATGAAATATTTGGTCTGTTAACTAAAGGAGTTCGACTGCCATGTCCAGAAAATTGTCCCGATGTCATTTACTCAACTTTAATGCTTCCGTGCTGGCAAATGAATCCAACAGTGCGACCCAATTTTTCGAAAATTCTAGGTGACATTAGGGAAATTGAATCTTTGGTGTAACACACTTAGTATAAACTGTGGTTTGTTGAATGTTTTTTTTTGCAATCAGTCAGACAATAGGAAAATCGTGAATATTTATTGTTTATTCTCTATTTGCAACATGAACAGCCAATAATCACTCTGCGGCTTAATTATAACTTATTTAAATAGGGTTAGATTTTGAAACAATATCAAGTTCAACTCGCAAACTGCAACCTGAATTATCGGAATCTAATTTTTGTCGAAAAAGTTGTGCATGCTGCCAGGCGTTGCTGCCTTCGCCACCTTGCAATGTGCAGGTTAATGTTATACTATTGCATAATTGGAATGATCCCACATCAGAAGAACTCCAGCAAAATAAGTCATCAACCGTATTTACATCTGGAAGAACCAATTGATATAAAATACCTGAAATTTCTTCTAGTCTTCTAATATTGTATTTATCAATTATTAATATATTTTACGAACCGCAAAGCTTGTGCACGTTGCCCAAGTTATCCGTCAATGTTGTTACAATAGATGCCGAGGAATGGAAAGTTGAACGCCCAACGACTATTTGAACCTTCTTTATTTGTAAGGTTGGATCAGATAGGTCAAACTGCCAAGAAATTGTACCCCGGGTGTCACCGTTTGATTGTTCTGTTATTTCGAAAGAGTTGTCATTAATCATATTACCGAAACACTTGGAATTTTAAAAAATAAACTCGCACGTTTATTTCTTCATGCAAATTTCGTACCTCTCCTTGATAAATATACCATTTTCCAATCATGTTCCCTCTTCTGAAAGATATTTTCCACATAACGAGCTCCTTCTTCCCAGCCAGGTTTTGTTTCAACAGACGAATTTCCATTGTGTACAAAATACTGATCCTTCTTTGAATCATAGCTCATAACAAATTTGGAGTCGAAAATTCGATCATTCCCAATCACCCATACATAACCGGAGTCATCAGTTTGATTCTCCTTTGTTGGCCCCAACTCCTGTCTGTATATCATAAATGCCTCATTGTATTACCTATTTTCATCCCATACACCTCAAAGCTGTTGATCTTGCTGTCATATATTATCTGAATAGGATGGTAAGAGTCGCTTTACAAAAACCATTTCAACACATACCTAGCCAGTCTCCATGCCAAGGATCCCGAGCCCCTACCTTCAGTCTCTGAATTTTTCAACTGAAATTCAGCTCTTGGGTACAAAAATTCGACCAATTCTTGAATCATTCGTGATGCGAGCAACTCTCTCCGACTGTCTGAAATATTTGCTTGCAGCCTCTTTTTCAAGCCCATTATTAAGTCAACTAGCCTGCTTTCGTTTATGAGACGTCGACGTGAAAGAACATCTCTAAGACTTTTTTCTTGAATATATCGCCTAGTTCAAATATGAATTATACGAATAAACCATATAAATAAGTGCATATATACATGTTTTGAAGCTGGAATATTGCTTAACCATGTAACGTCCTGCAAATCATCCTGGCTCACAGCAATCACATAGGACAACTTCTTGCCCCAACCATTCTCATATCTAAATAAATAAAGTTGTTGAAACACCCACCCATTATTGTCATCCAATAAAGCACATCCATTTAGAGATAGTTAAAAGTTCCACTCACAGAAGAGGACTGTCGTATGAATTTTCACAAGGGTCCACATGCACCCATCGGTTTGGGGTCAAGCTGGAGGAAAATACTTCAAGCCAGACATGATCTGTCCAGTCTCTAACATGCCGAACTTCAAAACCCGTTGCTCGGCAGATCAAGGCAAAACAATTCGCCCATTCGCCACAACGACCCGTTCTGGTTTTTAAAAGGACGGCTGGATGATTATATCTTGGAAATCTCGCAATCTCTCTATTGTCCTTGAAACAATTGGAACAAGTAAAAAGTTCCACTCGTGAAGCAGATTTTGCTAATTCCTCTACACTTGGTACTCCCGTACCTATCGCAGTGGTAGGTTTTTGACATCGAGGACAATTAGGTGAGTTCATCCAAGAAAAAAACTCATTTTTAAACCAGGACATTAGTTCCAAAAGATACATATCTTGAACTAAATTTTTATTCGGAGCCTCGTCGACCTGACCTGGATTACTCTCACATTTCGCTCGAGCCACAGCCATGAGAAAGTCGGAGGGGACTTCTGCCAACGCTGCAGCCTGGTTATTCGGTTGCTCGTAAAGGGCAAACTGGGCAATCATGGATTGCAACTCCTTTTCAAACGTCGTCGACATGGTAGACTCGTGAGGTGTAGGACCTTGCGTCAGGATAATATTAAAATCTGCCACACATGGAAAGGGACAAATCAATAATCTTAAGAGTCTGGATTCAAGACTATTGTCGCTAGACAGCTGGCCTACACATCTCCCTGTACTTTGTTTCAATGAATCTCAAGATTCATTAATTTATTTCTAAAGCTTTACATTTTTCGAAAAGTTCACAGGAAAAGTTTAAATGATGGAATGACGGCGTCAATTTGAGACGTATTTATTTTAAAATATGCATGTAACTAGTCTAACTACTAGTAAATAGTTTTAAATTACCTTTAAAAAGTATTTAAATTTGGAATGACCAAAGGAAGTCCTACTTGTAGTTCTCCATGTATAATCAAAAACACATTTTGTTGGGCGTTGAATATTTACTTTGATAAGAGGAAGGACAAATTAAACAAATATCAGATCGTGTAGTAAAGTGACACAATGATTTCAACGAGTTGAAGGCAGGGTTGAAACTAGGGGTAAAATAAGACCATTACCACAATTCTTTCCGTCTCAAAAGCTATTCTAAATGTCTCATTTACCCAACGTCTCAAAATCAACGTTCACAAAAAGTTGGCCACGTAAAATTGTTTATTGTTATAAGTTGACAGTTTTGATTATAGTTTAGAATAAAATAAACCCCACATCCATAATATGTACATATGATTCAAATAACATTGTTATACCCTTTCTCGAACCAATAGTACTTATAATTTCTTGCACAGTATCTTTATTAAAATTTGAAATCCGTGGGAGTGGTCAAGCAATGATGGTAAACATCCTCTGGTGTAATTGGTGAGTCTGTAATGTTATTGGCATGTATTAGATTTAGAAGAAGCGCAGGTCAGTAATATTAAATGTAATATTGCACCATACCCAACTTGAACCACTCCGTGTTTCCTTTATCTGCGCGTGCTGCAGTGATTGCATTTCGCAAGGCAAAGTATACTGCCACCGTGGCACAAAGGATCGGCTCCCCGGTCGCCTTTGACCGCAAAATTCCATAAGGATTAGGAGCGTCCTTCAATAGCGAAATTCTAAAATCCTCCGGAATATCTTTTGTTTCTGGAGGTTTGTAATCCTGTGAAATGTATGTAGCATGAACAATTAATTACAAAACCGCTTACAATCTTTTGATATGTACCCAAGTTCGATTGGTCAATAACTCTCCCGTTTCTTTGCAATGCACAATTCGCTCCGTAGTCCAGAAGCCCTGTCCGAAAATGTAGCCACCTTCAATTTGACCTAAGTTTAAAATATAAGCAAGATTGATGTAAATCGTGTACATATTACATATATATTTGCATATCATTAATGTTTGACCTAAATCCACGCCGGGGCTCAAACTCTTTCCAGCATCTTCAATCAAATCGGTTCGAACAACCTAAATGGAGTAAAAAAAACTTAGTAACAATCCGAATGACGATTTCGTATCTTTAATACAAAATGATACCTTGTATTCTCCAGTGAGGACGTCAATTTCAACTTCCGCGAGTCCCAGCGCCCAAACTTGATATCCCTTCAAATCGTCCTTGGGTCCAGGTCTAAATGTAATTATATTGATAAATGCATGTTTTTTATTCCTGTTTGACGAAAAGATCATTTCTATATTTCATACGTGTAAGAAGCTGTCAAGTCAATTTTGGCCTGATAAGCTGCAGCAATTAATTTTTCCCAGCTTGGATTTTCAAGTTTTTCCAAAATTGGCTTCAACCTGTCTTTAATCGTTTCACAGGCTCGCATGGCAGCCTATGAATTGAACACATAAGATCACATTAATTCGATAATCACGTATAGTTAATAACTGTGATGGTTGAAGTAATAATTAGATGGAATTACAAAACAGCAAAGTTCGGAGGCTACAGAACCCCCACTAGGAAAAGCATTAGCTCCAATGAAATTGTTTGTGGACTTCAGCTTGATTTTATCCATTGGGATTTGGAAACATTGTGCGATGGTTTGTAGAACCTCGAGACATAACATTTGAGTTATTTTTGCTACTAATGTAACACTAGCTGTAGAATTTATTCTTACCTTTGTTTGAAGGCCCTGACCCATCTCTATCCCTGCATGAGTGCAAGACACTGTTCCATCAAAATGATAAATGGCTATCATGGCAGGCAAATTGCACCCAAACTCGAACCTTCAAGTTAACCTTGTCATTTGAATCATGTTGATAAAACAATGTCAAAATCATAGGGAATTTACCCCACATGATACCGGATAGGAATCAAAGAGAGGCCTCGCTTTTTCCATCGATTCTCCTAAAATGTGGACGAAAACATGATTTAAACATGTTTGTGCACGACGCCATCGTAAATAAATACTAAGCATCATGTCATACATACCTTATTAAAAGTTTCCACAAACTGTTTTCGGTTTTCATAATCTCCAGATTTCTTTATCTCTTCAATTAGTCGAGGTATCTGATTATCTTCTTCAAAATTGCCTCCTCCGAAAAATGTTGGAAGAAAATGGTCTCCTTTTTCAATAAAGTTCAATTTACGAACATCGAGGGAATCTTTCTTTAAGTAAAATGCAATGTGTTCCATGATATTTTCCTATGTATAAAGTAAATGGTATTTTTAGCCCCACGGTGTTTAAAATATGAGAGTAAAACTAGATGAGTAAAATTGGGATTTTTAATAAAGCCTTGACGTCCCCTCACTACTATAAACTCACAATCAAAGCCACCCCTTTCACGGATCCTGGCGCCCGAACGCTCGTGTTTGATGCTGTATTTGTCATCACAAAACCTGGTTTAACTTCCCAGCCCAATGCCTTGTATGCATTTTGTAAATGAATGACTGCAAAAAGTGAGTTTGATTCATTTCCTGAAAAGCCAGCATCACAAAAAATTTCCGTCTTTAAGCTTCCAATTTTCCCAACATCATTAAACCCCACCTATAAAAAACAAATAATTTTATAACCAAACCAAGACAGGAATATATAGTATTTGATGGAACCAAAGTATTTTAAATGTTTTTGCGTTACTTCGTATTTCATATAAAATGGGAGTCGTCGTCCCAACATCTTCATATTGGTTTCGATATCCAACGCAATTCTAACTGGGTGACGAACTGTGGTGGCAGCAACGGCAGCGGCAGCAGCGATGTGGGCAGGCTGGGTTATTTTTCCCCCAAAACCACCCCCTATTCTTTTAACGTCGATGTTTATGCTAAGAACCAAAATTTATGGATGCAATTAAATTAAATGTTATTCTTACATATGATAACGCATAATTACGGATTATAATTATTTATCAATACATATATATATATATGTTTTTATGCATAGATATATAAAATACGTGCATACCTGCTGCAAGGAATTCCAAGTACCTTAGAAAGGTTATTTTGAGTATGATCCATCCACTAAGCAGAATTAAGGGTATCACAAATAAATATCTCTTTTAGTACATCACATCAAATTGGAAATATTTAGCTAAATGACATATGCATGATGTACGTATATACCTGCGTAGGAATGTGCATGTCGATTCCATCCTCACGTGGTATGCAAAGACAATTTAAGGTCTCCATATAGAAATGGTACTGCGATCTATTCATTCGTCAGCACATAACAAAACAAGTTCAGGGGATGTGACGTATAATCAATTAGAATTTCAGTAATTACCCAATGTTCATATCTCCAGCGAGGGTGTGGTTCACCTTGACGCTCGGGTCACCCTCGCTGCTAAATGTGCCAATAAAATGCTTTGGCAGAAGACCAGCAGCCTCCACATTTTTCAAGGCTTCCATCATATCCACGACCGGTTTCGTTGCCCCTTCGTATGCAACTTTCACCTTTCTACTTGCCTCCACGGCTATTTGTCGGTTTTCCGCTAAAAGGAGTGCAATTGATTGACCGTGGTAGGAAATTTCGTCACCCACGTTCACAAAAACCTATACGTGTAAATACTGTCATAATTTTATCTAACTTTTAGTGATGCAAACTATTAATTAGACACTAAAAACTATTCCATACCGGTTGGGGTTTAACTATGGGGAAAAAGAAATATTCCTGGTAATTGTTTTTCCCTTTGACATCTTTTGCCGTAATAAGCCGAACAACCCCTGGCATAGCCTAGTAAATCAGAATATTATTGCTTAAATGCGGTTTTTTGCAATTACTGTAGCATTGTATTTTATTTACTAATGCTTCAGTGGCGTCGATACTCTTGAGGGTGCCTGAACCAATAGTACTGAGGATGAAAACGCCAAATAACTCATCTGGCCGTTTCGGTATGTCGGTGGTGTATTCTGCTTCTCCTGTAAGTTTTTGTGATAACAAAAGCTGCGTTGTGATAACGTTGGTCGACCAGGTTATTCTTACGACATACCTGAGGCTTGCCAAGCTCCTTCATATTTTGGCATGGCTTTATAAAGTCTGGAATCAGACTTATCGGCCTCGAAAACTTGAGTCCCTTTGCTTATTGATCTTGGGATATCTGATCCCCCACTTTTTATGTGCTGACTCGCTTTCCCAGACATGATTCCCAAAATCGTCTTTAAAGAATTCATATCATAAATAGGAATATTTACATGTGGATGTATACGTATACATAGGAATGGGACGAGACTTACAGTCTCGACGCTTGCACATTTTACCATACATATACGTATACATATATAGTTGCCATACACTAATTATACCGCTTTAATTTAATACCTTATACAACAGAGACTGAGTTAAAGACTTTCTATACTCTGGACTTGCTTCAGGAGGATGGAAATCCGGATTAACCTCTTTATCCAGGATTTGGAAAGCGTTTTGCAACACTTGCATGCTTCCAATGTCCGTGTTTTTTGATAAAAATTCCTCTGTAGCAGTTGCATGCACCTAAGAAATATTTATAGATATTTATGTCCAGTCTCGTTATGGAAGATGATTTTTTGTAATATAATAGCTTTACGAATTCTGGATTGATTCCGCCGTAAACAATTCGAGGTTGTTCTACAATCTTTCCATCCTCAACTTTGACAAGAAATCCTGCGTTTACGTAAGCGTGCGCATTTTGGTATCGTCTTGTTATCTGTTCGAAAGATTATATGCAAAACAATTTATTTGTGTATAGCATGTATGTAAATACTTCTGCTCACAACAATTGGAAACATAAAACATTGAATAAAATAAGTAAACCAATAAAGAATATCGTACTTTAAATGATCTGAAATGGTAGTTGGTACTCCGTTGTGGAAAATGCACAGACAAAATGAGTTTGTCCCTCATATCCGCCTTTAGAAAATCCGTCATAGTGAGTACCTTCATTTCGGTAACACTTGATGCTAAAATATATTAAAGTACACTCCTTAGCAGTTCATATTTCCTTAATCGCTCATTCACAACGCACTTATTTTACTTTACCGATGGTTAGTTTTGCTCCGGCTGTCTCCAGCAGAACAAAGACGTCAGATGGAAACTCGCGATGAGCGTGTTTGATCATCAAATTCCCAGCAATTGTTGCATTCTGAGAGATAACAGAGAATTGACTAGTACGCCTCGTAAAACCTCTTAAGCGTCGTGTTTATGATTTACATTTCGAACGGGAGCATTAGCAACTCTTTCCAGGTGGGTGCTGATGTGTGCCATATATTCAAATCCAGACTTGGTTTTAGAAATGTCGCCTAAAAATTCAATCGCATCCGCCAAAGTTACTCCTCCTCCTAAAAGGACTTCGGACGAGTCAACTTTTTTCTGTTTCAACTCTGGGATTCCATTTATCTCGATGTAAGAAGAGTATGGACCTTCGTGTTTGTAAACACCTATTTTGGGTAATAAATAAGTAGCATACATATGTATTAGCTTCTAATGTACTAAACGACTGTATAACCATTTATGCATGAACATATTTACCAGTTGCAGTGTTCCCAGCGACAAATCTCAATTTTTTACCATCAGAGTTTGATCGTTGGATTGCTTGAAACACGGCTTTTAAATCAACGGCTGTGGTCCACACTGATCCATTTGCTAATACGAGCGTGGAGTTTTCTTTGGTTTTAGCTTTGTCACACTTGCGTCCGAGACCTTGTCTCATGGGGCATGGGCATGAAGCACAATCCTTTAAAAAATATTGGAAAAATTAAATACGGTTTACATACAGCTTCTTCTTCATTTGGTTAGTTTTTAGTGAGTATGTGTACTTCAATATCGTCACATTTCCGCTTCAAATCTTCCGGCGCATCGACTGCGAGAGACTTGAAAGCGTCCAGAATAGGTCGATAGCCAGTACATCGACAAATGTTTCCGTCAAAGTTATCTTCAACCTCTTTAACTGTTACTAAACCGTCTTTCTTTGATTCTCGCAGGCTGTGAATCAAAATTAGTACAGTGATGTGTGGAAATTAATTCTTAAACATGTGATGCACATATGCAACTATTTATGCAAATATGTACCTGTTCATGCAAATATGTACCTGTTCATGCTCATAATCATCCCAGGAGTACAGTAACCTAATATCAAACCGATTTTAGTGAATGAAAAAACAAATGGAAACTAGTCATGCACTCCGTAAATATTTAGTATAAATTATTCTACTTTTTTGGCAGCTAGAATCATAAGGCGCCGTCCATAAATTACGTAACGCTTGCTAGCATGGGCAAGATAGGATTTTTTCCCTATCCTGCTCATGTCAGCCAGCGTTACGTAATTTATGGACGGCGCCTAATGCTAACTTTTATTAAATTAACGCTTGCATTACCACATTGTGTTCCGTGAAAGTTGACCAAACGATTTTGAATGACGTCGTATCCATCGTCTTTGTTCCCAAGATCTTCAACCGTTGATATATCCCAACCTTGGCAGCTGTAAACTGGAGTGATGCACTAAAATATGTCAAATACGTGTACTAATTCATTATGACTCGTTTTTTTAATCAAGTCGAATGCATAAATACAAAAAGTGCATACAGAATTTATTCCCTTTGTGACATCAGCCCCAATGGCGGCGTCCTTTGTTCGGACGGTAACAACGCATGCGCCACAGCCACCTTCCCGACACATTACTTTTGTCCCCTTTAAATTTGCATGGTCTCGGATAAAGTCCACCAACATGGTCTCCGAGTTGATGTTTGCCGTGTTGGCGTCAACTGCGATAGTTACAGATCAGTCGACATGAGTTCAGCGCGTACAAAAATTGCTAAAAATGTACAATTATTAACCAAAACACTTACCATGATATTCTTTTCCATTTATGGTGAAACTGATGGTACTCGCATTTGATCCAGATCTACTTATATAAATAAATTGGATAAAGGATACATGTTTAAATCCTTATTTTGCATGCTTAAGGGATTAAGTTTCGTACCCTTTCCCCATGGTTGAACAGTCAGGAAATTCAAAAGAACTAGATGAAAAGTGCAGATAAGAAGTCTGAAATTATCAATGTTTATCTACAGTTCAGAATCCGCGTGATCTGAAATAAAAAATATCGGGAACACTCTGAAGAAAGGTTGTATCTCAACTCATTGGGGGAGCAATGTATAAGACCTTGGACGAAAACATAATCAGTGGAATAGAGATAACAGTTCTATCTGTGATGCAAATTATAGCTAGACATGCAAACATGTTATACCAAAAACAACAAAGTGTTAAGCAATTAATACGAAATTGGCTTATTTGAAACTGCATATCATTACCTATATGTATTGCAAATCAAGTAATGCTGGCAGCATTCAAGACCTGTCTCTGCACAATATTTAGATGATGCTCAAAACAAACCTTCGGTAACACTGGAAATGTCAAATCTTGCCAGTCACTGCGAGTGACTCACTAGTGGTCCATTTGTACCAAGCACTGGGAAATGGCAATTCATGGCATTAATTTTATGCTGTAGCATATATATTTTTTATAACGTTCCCACTTAATTCAAGGATTTCATCAATCATGATTCAAGGTTATATCAGTAGAAGTGTTTTTTACTCCATTTGTTGCACTCCACACTGTTTGGTGAATTTTTTGCCATCCGAAAAAGGTACAGTATGTAACAAATTTAATGCTACGATGACATAATTTTTATATCGACATGATCGCGTAAATTTTAAAATTTCAAACTCCGCACAAAAATCTCAAAAGTATATACGGATAATTTCCTCGTCGCCGATTTTTAATATCGCACAAAGGTCAAATGTCACCATTATTTTTGTGAACAAATTTGAGGCGTCGAAAAAAAAACTTCGTGGATAATTTTTTTTGAACTTTCTAATATTTTTTATCGGATACGACATGCGTTTTGAAGAAAAATGAGCTTTGGTTGGACCGTGTACGATTTTTTTGACGCCCACAGGAATTTTTCGCCAAGGACAGGTTGAAGGCCTAAAATCGCCACCGCGGCGAAAATTCGAAAACTGAAATATACGTTTGCATATTGAAAGTCCCGACATGCAAACGTGTATTTCAGTTTTCGAATTTTCGCCGCGGTGGCGATTTTAGGCCTTCAACCTGTCCTTGGCGAAAAATTCCTGTGGGCGTCAAAAAATCGTACACGGTCCGACCAAAGCTCATTTTTCTTCAAAACGCATGTCGTATCCGATAAAAAATATTAGAAAGTTCAAAAAAAATTATCCACGAAGTTTTTTTTTCGACGCCTCAAATCTGTTCACAAAAATAATGGTGACCTTTGACCTTTGTGCGATATTAAAAATCGACGACGAGGAAATTGTCCGTATATACTTTTGAGATTTTTGTGCGGAGTTTGAAATTTTAAAATTTACGCGTTCATGTCGATATAAAAATTTTGTCATCGTAGCATTAAATTTGTTACATACTGTATAAACTCAATGTGCATACCTACATGTTTAAATTGCTGTATGATCAGAAAAATCACGGGATCCACGGGTTGGCGTCACCACTGAAAGTGGAACTGAAGGATGCAAATATGCAGTGGCAATGACTAGTCATTTTGGAACCTATAATGTTCCCAATAGTTGAAAACATATGTACTTAATAGAGATACAAACGTTTTAAATGCAACTCGGTAAAGAAACCCAACACTCATCAATTCACGTGGCCGAGTTGCATCGGATTTTCAAGGTTGAAGCAATTACACGTTCTTCTACTTTTCAACATTGCATGTCGTTGACGGATTATTATTTTTTTCAATGTTTGGCAAACCTCGTCTGTGATGGTCGCTTCTTATTATTCGAAACTAGAATTATATGCACGTATTTATATACGTAGGTACCATAATAACTAATAACTTATAACCTCAAGCAGTGAAACGTAAAATAAAGATGAAATGTTGACATAATTGTGCATTTTTAACTCAAACCAGGGCTCATGCATTCGCCTGTATGTATACATATATGGCGATAATTCGCTTAAAACTTGAGATTTTTTCAGGAGTCAATTCGAAGATGAGTAAAATTCGTCGAAGCATTTAGGGTTATGATACATATGTCTCAACAGGTCGCAAATACGTTTTGACGTCCAAAAAACGCAAAATTCAAAATTAAGTAAATACGTTAAGAGGTGCGTCAAGTATTGCCAATATTATTATTATGTATCAAATTGAGGCATGTAAATGGCTAGATTCAGTTAACGTATAATGTAGATTCCATTTTATTAAAAAAATTGTTTACAAGAAGACGAGGCAAAACATGTTCCATATTTACATAATTGGCATTATTACTCAAGGCTGTCAAGTTGTGAATCATGGCGTCGTTACTAAAAAAGGTTATTGTTAAGTGAATTAAAGGCACACATTAATCCTTATCATAAAAAATAGTTGTGGTAAAAATACTGAATTGCGTTAAATAGTAGCCGCGTAAAACATAGTACTAAGTACAAATATATATTGGTTTGCATCAAATTTCAAATCTTTTAAGTTTTAAAAGTAGGTGCTTATTATATTGTTCATCGCGTTCGTATCGCAAGAGCTTATGGAAGACTGGGCAGTCCGTATTATCACACTTGTCGTCATCACCACTACACATCACACAGATCTAAGAGAGAAATTAATATTGATTATGAAATTTGCAGATAAGACATGCCAGATTTGTTTAAAGTAACTTTCTTACCCTGCACGCTGTGTCCATCTTTGTCGATAAGTCCGATGATACTTGCAAGAAAAACGAGGTAGACTTTTGGATGTCACTATCACAGTTAGCACAGATTCCTTTTTCAGTTTTTCTATCACATCTGAGACAGTTAGCGTGTTGCATAAATTCATCCAATGTGAAATGGCCTGATTGATTTTCATCGTCCAAAATATTTCGAAGATACTTTCTCGGAAGAGACTTGTACCTGCATTTAACAGTAGAAGCAGTTATAATTAATTATACTATTTAGTACTATGTTAATTATTATTTAACATATGCATAATCTTCAAATTACCATTTCATGACATTCATTTTTGCCAAACCTAAACAGCGGTTTAAGGCTGGAATGATTGCTTTTTCTATGTAGTAATGGGCGTTGAGGCGAAGGGTACTATCATTGGAAAATTCAATAGGAGTGCGCACTAGTTTAATTAAGGGGAGCGTGGGTTTGTCGTAAACTATTACGTAAGGAACTCTTTGTTTATTCAATGGTTCTGACCTAGGGTCTAACTGCGCTAATTTTCTAGAAAATAAAAATTAATGCAAATTAGAAATTTGAATCCTAGGGTTATGCTTATTAATATTATACATACATACTTTGCAATCTCTAAAGAAGGGACGCAAGCACCGGGTTTATATCCTTCCCTGCCTCGATATTGTCGAGCAAACATGTAATCTTTCATACTCACTCGTCCGGTAAAAAGCTTTTTGAACTGAAGTTGCAAAAAGTTTTTGACTTTTTCAGAGTCATCCGTGGTGAAGAGAATATGCAAGGTTTTCTCTAAAATCTGTTGATTGAAAATAAACAATTCTTTGAGGGTTAGAGAAGATATATAAATATAGATAAATATATACAATGTCAAGCAAAACAGTGCATGACCTTTTTTACAGCCGGACAGCCATCTCTTCTAACGGTTTCGATTCCTTTGGCATCATACAGTGGCTCCACCTGATCTTCTGTTTCATATGAGTATCCGACATATCGTTTTTTCGACTGGAGAATGCATGGTTGATAAATTTTTTCAAATTTCAGCTTTACAGGCTTTGGGTTCAACTTTGTAACCTGGTCCGCAATTTCATGTCCAAGTCTAAATGCCTCTGAACGGGTTCTTCCACGAAATAATACAAACATTGAATCCGTGTCCCCATAAATAACTTCTCCTCCCCATTTTTCATAGTTGGATTTAACGAAATCAATTGCTCGCTGAAGAGTTTCCCGTCCTTTACTAACAACACTATCTGCTATCTGAGTAGATGCATAGATAAATAAACAAGTTGTCATTTATACCTATGTACATAGGTCTAATAAATGCATATTATAATTCTTACATCAACGCATGGCATGCGTCCGGAAAAATTGGCAGAAGTATAACCATACGTAACATTGGCAATCATTTTGAGCCCTAATTGTCTGGAATCTAAAATTTTCTGCAGTGCGGCTCCTTCGGTTTTCCACTTTTTCATAGAGCGTTTCACCATTTGCCTGGTATCGAGAATTTGTTCAAGAAGTTGAGGGAGGACTCCTTTACGTACGTTCGAATTAACAAAGGCAACACCAGCGGGAGAGATGTGAATTGCATCGCAGTACTTTTTTAGGAAATAGGTTGAGACTTGATTTTGAATGCATCCGAGTTCAAATGGATCCTCTCTGTAATAAAAACAAAACATTGTATGTAGCATATGTATCTAAGTATTATAATTATTCAATATTAATCTATATATTATATATTACTAGATCATGTGTACTTTAGCTATTTACATATTTACCTTCCCAAGTGCTCCACTCTTCCAATCACTGTAGCATAATCGTAATTATACGCAATCATCATGGATGGATACAAAGACTGGAAATCAAGTACTGCGAAAGTAAAGAAAAGGTCATTTCATTCATGTGTGTGCTAGCCAACCAAGATATTTTTATCGATGCTTTTCAGAAAACGAAGGTGTATCATATCAGTTTTCGTCTCTACCTGCAACAGGGTCTGTGTAATAGCTGCGTCAAAAGTAGCATGGCAAAATGATTATTAAATGCACAATTTTCAAATATTTATATTTTATATGGATGGCTTGGGTGTACTTACTTTGATTGTGGCTCCAATATCAATGGCAAAAATTCCGGAGCACGCATTTTAGCTCGTTGTCCTACACTTGGAGAGACAGGAATAAGATTTTGGGATTTTGTCACTCGCAACATCATTGATTCTACCCGAAACTGCAAAAATAGGGTTATACACAGTTTAATTTTTAATAATGTAACCGTTGATAATTGTTTTATTGACTGGAGATATTTTTTGCTACCTGTGATCCCCGCGAAAAAACTTCATAAAATAAAATTCCAAAAAGTCGAGCCAACTCGGATGTTCGATTCACCATGTCTAATGAGTTCATAATTTCAATATTACCCTTGGCTCGTTGATCATAGTATTCCAAAACTCTCCATCTAAAATTTCCCAAGTTCAGTTTATTCTAATATATGTATCCTACCGAGTTGCAATAATGATGAAAAATGAAGTTTTAATGGCATAATTACCAACCTTTCATTAGGACGGTCCCAAAAGTTCATTAGCGTGGCGTTATTGAAATGACAAACCCGCCTATGCAAGACATGGTAGGCTGTATTTTCGTATGTATAGCTCGTAACAGTTATCTGTAAAGCGAACATTTAAGGATTAACTTGAAATATTACAAATAAATGACAAGCATATATTTATGACCCTTACCTCGTGGCGAAGCAATCTCCACAAATTCAGAACAATTCTGCCAGGTATTTGCCCATCCCACCCCTCCTGTTTTCGCTCATAGCCATGGCTTCCAGTTTTCCTAATAACCGGCTGAAGTCTCGACAAATGAGACAATAAGTCAAGGCCCAGGGCCGCACCCCTGCTGATTATATACCCCCAAGAACACAATTCCGTCTATAATCCAAATGAAGTTGCTTGTTTAAATTGAAAGTCGAGGGTTATTCGCAGTATGATTTTCTATAATTAGGAAAGCTATTAAAAATAAAGGACCTCATATCCGACAAGTATATCTGGGTCATTCTTATGATAGAATATCAAGAATCCATGAAGAAGATCCATTTCTGTTAAAAAGTACTCGCATTTTGGGTCTGCTGATGGAACCTTGTGTTGAGTGTTAATGACCAGAAACGACTCTGCAATCATAAATCAATCAGTTTTATATCATTATATAGCAAAAAGATTAAAATATTTCCATACACATATGCATGGCAGTACTAATTAATAGTTAAAAATTTGTCGACTTACTGACAAAGCGTTGGTGAAAATTGTCAGGATGATCACTGTAAACGTATACAAAAATTCCCAATATTTTATCGTAAGCTGGGTCAGGAACGAGATGCGATCGACTCTGACAGTGTAATTCAACACTCATGACGTTTACATGTTGAATCTATAAAACCATATAATACGTAATTAATTTTATGAAATTAATGAATAATACGAATAGTAAGCTCACTTGATGCAACGCTTTGGCATCTTGTAAATTGGACATGTCAAGCTCAAACCCAAATTTATTTTTTGGAGAAGGTCCATCAATTTCGCTGTTATTGATTAAAGCTTTTTCATCTAATGGAGGATTGCTTCCCGAATTAATTTGGGTAACCGGGTCCAGTTTGATAAATTTTTTAACACTTGGACTATTATTATCCCAGCGAATTTGTCGTTTTCCACTAACTCGCATTTCTCGAGCACTTTTGCATGATGTTCTGAGGATGGACTTTGGAGTCTTACTTGAATTCAGTGATATTTGAGCTACAGTTATAGGTGTAACAGTTTGTTTGAGACTGGTGACTGATTTCTGGCAGATAACACCTGAGGTGTCCGTGTCGACAGAATAATCCGAATCTTCATCTGAAGAACTGTCCAAATTATTACATTTTCTGATTATTTTTTGAGGCGCACCCTCTTGACTAGAATGCCCGTCTGGTGATGCTTCGCTCTCCTTATTCAGACATTTTGCTTTTCCTTCACTGCAATCTTTCTTTACTTTGTGTTGCCTCATTAGATTTTGCTTAAATATTACTTTGAATGATGGAGCAATCTTGAGTGGGTCAAATTCATTGCGGAATAAGTCAGACTTGTTGTTTGCTTGCAATTTTTTTGCCCTGGCTTCTAATCGTTTTTTCCGTGTTTTTGAACGAGAAGCTGAACGTTTGATTTGAAAACAAGAAATTTCACCCCGGGGAGATGTCGCGACGGGGTTTTCCAATAAGGGAGTAAATTTACTGGGCGGTGGAGAAATGCTGAGCATTGATAAACTTTTCTGATTTTTGCGAAGAATTTTCTTAAAGAACGTTTTATATTGAGTTGAATTTCCATCTGTGGATTTTGTCCGTTCTTCAACCCTTTTTCTGGTGCTAGACACTAATTCTGGAGTACTTAAAGGAGAAAGTTTTTTTTTCTTAGGGGTGCAATATATTGGCATAGCTTTTGAATCCTTATCAACTGTTACTGGCGTGACGACATCATCAATGGTACATTGCTTAACATTGTCCGCATTTTTTTCTTGAGCCGAAGCTATGAATACATCATCATGTTCTTTCCCAACATCACGCTGTTTCGCAAAAATTGGAGTTTTCACAAGTCCATCCGACGATTTGCAATCACAACCATGGCAAAGCGGTAATTCTGTTTGGATTTCAATACTCCGAGACTCCAAAACGGGACCACTTTCTAAGGAATCGTCGTCCATTGATGACACTTTGGTTTTCTCAATCAATAACGGTGACTTCTTCGTGTGTGTAATTTGTACAACAGATGAAGCAGGAGGAAGCTCTTCTTGAACAGAATTTAACGGGTCCACGATAGTTTCTGAAGAAAGGCTAGATTCGCAAACAATATTGACTTTACTTTGGTCAATAAAACTTGTGCTTGTTACATTCACCGAATCTAGACAATGATCAGAGTTCGAGATGGGAACAAGTTTGTCCTTCTTACTTCGTTTTATATTTCTTTTGGTTTTAAACTTTTTATTTTGGGCTTTTGTCGGCTCATCACTACTACTCGATTGTACAGGGTCCGACTGTACATTAACACAAGGCGGCTGATGATTCTTATCAGGGTTGGATTGAATTATCGGATTTTCTAGTTTGGATGATCGAGTTTTCATATTGTGCTTATCCCGACTCGACGATGGTCGAATAGGATACTCCAGTCTTTCAACTCGAACGATAGGATTGTTATCAATAATTTCTTTATATTCTTCAGACTCTATATGTAGCTTAATTACTTGTTGCTGATTCGCGTTACCAGCAAATACCTTAGCAATAATTGGACCCAGTAGATATTTCTTTTTACATTTCGGACCAGGAAGTTCAACAGTGTCAGGTTTTTGGAGTTGTTTAGCAGCCATAGTACTAGTGGAAGGATCATCACTTGCAAGAATCCTAGTATCATTGTTAGTTACTGTCTTGCAAATATTCCCTGACGTGGAAATTTGATCGTTAACGTTTATAGATAGTTTTTCGGAAGGTTGATTCACATTTTTCTTTCTCTGGTAGCATCTTTTAGACATGTTTACCATATTATCTTTATACTTTCGTGGGGTCCTTCGCTTTCGAGTGCTTTTCCTAGACGATTCTTTAGAACTGTTACTTCCCAACTCGGAATCGTCAGAGTTATCTTGAAATCCATCTCCTTGAAATATCACCTCGTTGTTCAAGTTGTTGAACTGATCCTTTGCTGGGTGAGGATAATCGTCATTAATTGTATCGTTTGAAATTGAATTGGATTTTTTATCTGAGTCTGGGGGGTCGATCTCGGACTTTTTTTCATTAAATATAGACTTTAAAATTGAGTTGGATAAAAACGATTGGTTCCAATCATCTGGTCCTTCAAGTTCGGATCGTTCCTCATCCTCGTCCACCTCATCATCGTCTTGTTGATCAACGCTGATTTCGTCGTCAATGTTTTTAAGAAGTGGAGGGCGTTTAGTGCTAGCTACTGCTCCCTGGTCAATAACTGCATTAGCTTTTTCGTTCATAAACTCTTTGAATAATTCGTACAATTCATCATCATCATCAGAATGTTGGGTTTTGTTCAAAGGTGACGGCTTATCAGTTGACTTATCGTCTTCGTTTGAAACATTGTTTACAAAATGATTTACAACTTCAGACCCAAAGACTCCGTCACCGACTTCCTCCGTATTACTGAAAGTATTGACAGACGGAGGGATGTTCTGTCATAAACATTTAAATAATAAAACAGTATTTTAATTCATAAGTCACCTTTTTAATTTATATGCAAAATACCTCTTGAGAATATGGTAAACTTGCTAATTTGTTGAGTAAAATTTCCTTATACAAGGCTTCAGTTGAAAAGAGATCACCACAAAGAAAATTTCTTGACTGGCTTTCTGGGATCGAAACTTGTGATTGTTCTAACAACCGTCGTCTTTCGATTTCATCTTGCCAAATCGCATCGATTCCTGGATTACAAGAATGCGCATCTAGGCAGAAATATTCACACTAATATAATTTATAAGAAATAAAGAGAGCATAAACTTAACGAATAAAACAAACTTGTACTTGATCTTGTTGACACTACATTTATGTCTATAGCACAAACATCAATTTCCAATTCCGAAACTGAAACTTTCTCCAAGGATTTAGTGAATAGGCTGTCGGGGAGTTGCGACAAATTCCACACTGTTGTCACTCCACACGAAGATATTGACGTTGTTCTTTTACGTGATACTGGGGAGACATTGTGGTGATCTTGACCAATTTTTCTGCGAAATTTTGCTGCCCCAAAGTGAACGAGATTCATTCCATACAAATTATAATCAATCATGAACTGTAAGTGATATGGTATATGCGCGTCATAGGGTTGGAATTTTCGGTCCAAAATTGCACCCGTCTATAAAATTCACATTATTAATAAATTATATGCATCTATAAACTTTGTTACATGACATTTCTACTGGTCATGATTGATATGATGATGTTAGTCATTAATGACATAATAACTAACAGCTAACACCATAGTTTTAAACAACAATCCTTACCAGCAGAAGCTCTGCAACTTTCTTGATAACAGATGGATTATACAGGTATATTCGCAGGAAGGTTTCCTGTGTGTGTCGATAGCCATAATAAGTTCTATACAACAAGAGCAAAACTATATGTCCAAGTCAATTTAAAAAAATGTTTTAATTAGGATTCTTACCTTCCACAAATTTTAACTGCCTTAAAAATATGGCGATGAAATAGAATTCTGAGATCTGTTCTAGTTGCAGTTTTAAGAAAATTATTCAAGGCTTTTTCAATTCCATCCACTATGTTGCTTTCAAAATTTTCAATGTCCGCGTCGTAAAGGATGGTGATGTACGGGAAAACTCCGTGGACATGTGTAGTGCAATTTTGTCCTTCATATTGCATGCATTCATTTATAGTTAGAGTTTGCATCAATTTGTTTGAAATTTATCTAAAACATTCAAGTTCTCCTCTACATACCTTTGGGTGTAGATCCAAATATTCGGAGGATAGGAACTCGGGGATTATCTTCACTAAAGCGGTGATCAGGTGGTGCAGGGTCAAATTCTGAGGAAGGGGACATGTAAAAGTCTATGGTGACGATTCTCTGAGAGAAAAATGAGTCAGAAAATGACATGGTGCGGTTAAGACTGGGTCGAGGGGGCTGCTGGACGTGACCGATATTGGAATTGTTCTGATCCTGTTTCTCAGCTTTAGTCGACATAATTCTTGAGCTCTATAATGAGTTGTAAATAGGACAGAAAAAGGTTTTAAGCTCTGCTTGGGTAGAAGAAAAGATTGTGTTTTATTTACTTAAGATAAGAAATTCATGTTCAAAGTTTTTCATATAAATATATATATATAATAAATTGCATTATGTATATAAGTTTACCTGGTGTGTCAATTTAGGTAATCAGTAAGTAACTAGAACTTTGGCATTAACGATAACTTATCGTCGATAAGTACAACAAATAAACAGTTCAAAGTATCTGTATATCGAGTGTTGATTATTAATTGCAACAGAAAAATCTAAAATCGCAAGTCCTGGTCCTTCGCTCAGCGATGAAAAATTTTAAATGCTAATTAACATAAATTTACTGATTAATTATTTCCTCCTTAGGAAAAACTAGCTTAATCTCTCGGCATCAGTTATTTTGTACGACGTGATGGAAAGGACTCCCGCTCTCTGCAGCTATGCATTTCTCTTCTGAGAGACAAAGGATCAGTTTGGTTGGTACACAAAGCTATACCAATACCTCGGATCTAGAACTAATTTACTGAATAGTTTAAACCAATAATTATTATTATGTCAGTGTTGTGTAAATCAAAAGTGTGTCAATTAAATCCATTCAACATATGGTATTAGGATTTTCTAAGGGAATATATATTTAGAAGCATAGAATAGAAAGAAAGTTATCATTGTTTTATCACTGTTTTTCTTCTGCTGCTATGATCTCCTTCACAGCGTTTTTCAAATAGGAAACAATATCAAGGTCTTCTGCATCCAACTTATCCGCGTCAAAATTTTCTTGTAAAATTGGACGAGGAGGTGGTACGATATCTGGATCGACGAATTTACCCAACAGCTCTTCCATCGTAGAAATACCAAGATAATTTACCGCTTCTTGCCACCTTTTGACCAAATCAGATTTTCCATTCAGTCTTCTCTTGGCTTCCTTGTCTGATGATGATGTCGAGGAGCAGGGTTCTGTGGTCTTTGATGCATTGGCGTGAGAAACACTTGGTGATATACTCAGTGATTCGGGGGAATGTTCGTTTTTTTCCTTTTCATGATTTTCTCGCAACGGGGAGTCAATGCACAGAGAATAGGGGGGTTGATTTTCTATAAAAAAAATATGCACTATAATTAGTTAAAGTGATACGAATTAATGGATAAGATGTATTGATATCCAACCATCTCCTGATGTTTCTTCTATTTGGACAACGGCGTGGAGTCCTTGAGCTGTAGAAATGTCCGATTCGAGAAAGGTTCCACTGTTGTTAACTGCATCCCAGCCATCGAACAATACATCGTTGTCAGGATGGTTGCTGATTTCGATTTTCTCTTGGGTAGCAATGATGTCGTGGTCGTCTTCCTGCTCCGGATTGGAATTATTTTCCTCGATCGTTCTATGGTTGTTGGACATTGAAACACGGGCAACCAAGGGGCACAATTTTGAGGCTTCCTCGTCGTTTGAGCAACTTATTTGTGATATCTTTTTACTTGTGACGGTGATCGAACCACAGGATGATGTCAATGATGTCGATTCCTCCGTGCAAGTACACTTGATAGCTTGAATTTGTTCTTGAAAATGGTTTCGATGTGCATAAAAGATTTCAAGTACATAAATCGGCAAATTCAGCGTTCTAGCCAAATTTTGGTCCAAATGGGACCTCTGTTCCAAAATTTTGCTAAGGATGTCTTGTGATTCTAAAATATTTAAGGGAGGAATTTTCCTTTTACAGGATAACAGCGAGGTCATAAGCTTGCAGTCAGATTTATGAATCCGTTTCACGGCCCCGGAATTCCCTCCTTGGTGAAGGCATGGTTCGTTCCTAAAAATTAATACAAATAAATACCTTGTGTTAAACGGTATCTGTGTATCAAAAAGAGAAGAAATGTCATTAATTATGGATTGAAATTAGTACGCACTTGTTAAGGCGTCGACGTGACATTGAACCGAAAACGAACTGATTTTAACACATAAAATACTGCGCCCTGAAGGTTACTATAATATGAAAATATTCAATGAAAATAATCAAAAATATACTCACGCATTCTAATTTTGAACTCGACTGACTGGCGGATTGGATTAATTATCTGATTAGAGTATCCTTTATTTATGATCGTCTACTGTCAAATGTTTTTTGTCTCGCTCGTCACTCGTGTTACTCGTGTATGATACACGGTGTATCCTTCTTTGCAAGCAATCAAACTTGGGATCAGAAGAGACAACCCGAGACAAGCGATAGCAAGTACAACATCCGTATGAGCAGCTAGGGATGCTGATAACTTTACCATAATGCAAGATTTATGAATTACTATAAATATGATATGAGGCACACCTTGCTGGTTTTATTATGAACAAAAATAATAATTTGTATGGAGAATTTTGGAATTTTTGACCAGAGTTTTATTATCGAAAATTTAGGACTTGGCACATTTCGTTGATTTCGTAAATAGTACCCATTACCCAATGGGTTGCTGGCCATTCATTGGTTATAGAAAGTCATTGCATACTTATTACTTTAAGATAATATCCACTGGGTATTATTGTGGCTAAATTATTATTTAGCCGTTACTATTATTATTATTGTAAATGAAATTGTACAGCTGAAATAGTATCGAGAATATTGAAAAATTCAATGAAAGTATTCCGAAAGTCACCTTTACATATATATAAGCTAATACTCTAGGCCGATTTATGTAGTGACAATACATATACAAAAGTGATGGACTGGCTGATTTCAATAAAAAATGAACCTCTTGAAACTCTAAATCGGATATTTTACTCAGATATTATACTCACACTTTTACTTACAAGGCGATGGTGTGAAGTGTAACCCTCCGATTTGACTGAAATTTTAAAATTATATGGTCCAACTCAATATAGCCAACATTTCTTGAGGCGCGATGATTGGAATTTGTCGAAATATTTGAGGTCAAAGTTTACAAATAGGCGCTTATGCCCATCGAATGGGAGTGGGGTTTGCAACCTCCGCTTGGTAAGAATCTCCCATTTTTTCGACTTTGACCTCCAATATTTCGATTAATTCCAATCATCGCACAAACTGCAATATTGGTTGTATGTTGGTTGTATGTTGGTTGTATTGACTTGGATCACATAATTTTAAAACTTCTACCAAATCGGAGGGTTACATTTCACACCATCGCATTGTTAGCAAAGTCGGTTTCTTGTGGTTGAAAAGTATTTTTAGATCCAAATTGATTTTCATAGAATAATATACATACATATGGTGATCTTGAATTTAGACAAACAGAGACTGAAATTAAATTTCCCATTTAGTTAGTTCAGCATATGTATACCTATTTGTGTATGTAGATAAGTATGTGTATAAACAATCTGCGGAATGACGACCATTTTCCTAACCATCATACCAATAGTCGAATGCATTGTGCCGGGCCAGAAAAGCATCCGAGTGATTTCGAACAAACTGTAGTTGGGTAAGTACTGCATAAATGAATGAAACGTCCACATATCTATTTCAAGCATCCCCATGATGATCATGAAAGAAATCAATTATTTTTAACCCTCGGTGGGTTACGTGACCATTTGGCAAGCACCACGATTTCTTGTTGTTGGGACGTAGCTTTCTCAGTCAAGGCGTTACTTTTACGCAAGAAAGTTGATATTGAGTATATCAGCAAACTCAGTGGAAAAGTACAAATTTCTCAAAATCAGACGGGTGGGGACAATAATAAGCATTAATTTATCCTCAATGCTAATAAGTTTGTTTTGTGTCCCAAACGAGGTTTATACGTAAATTTATTTAAAAATACAAAAAAATAAATTGTTTTGTTCAGATCCAAAATACACTTGACATGCTTTTGAAGAGTGTGCTACTCGTGGGTTTGATCGTTGCATTTGCCGGTAGCAACAATGCCCAGCAAGAAAGAATACTTCGAATTGTTAGCATCCTGGTAAATATTTAGTTCAGTGTGTTAATATTGATACATGGAGGAGGATAGAAAATTGAAGAGTGATTTTTTTAGGATCAGCCATATCTAATGCATGGTGACGATGCGGACAACGGCAGTTATACGGGATTTTGCAAAGATCTGGCAAAAATGATTTCTGAAGAATTGAGGATGGATTGTAAGCAAAAATGTTACTAGAGTCTCATGTGTGTAGTAACTCGGCTTTTGTAATTAGATGAAATTCACCTTGTCAAGGATGGCAGATATGGTGCAAAAAATAAATCAGCCTCCGGACAATGGAATGGGATGATTGGGGAAATTGTCAATAATGTGCGAATAACATGAGCTTGAAGTTCAAGCTGCATAAATGGGCTGGAAATTACCTGATAAGAATCATGGTTTATTCTTAGGAAGCTGACATTGTGGTAGCTCCGTTGACGGTTACGGCTGCTCGGGCCGCAGTAGTGGATTTCTCAACGCCATTTCAAGAGTTTCAATTTAGCGTTTTGCTCAAGAAACCTGACATTGATGAGGACGAATCAGACGAGGATGAAACACTGACGGCATTTTCCCCTTTCCATTTGTACCTCTGGTTGGCAATTGTGTTCACAGTACTTGGAATGGTTTTCATTTCGCTGGTCATTGAGTGGTCATTTAAAAACCCCGACACTCACGGAGAAGGATTCGTAAATTTTCTTAGACAAGACTCCATTTTTCGTCCAGAGTATGGAGACGCATTTATTTATGCATACTGCCGAATCAATTTATGCGGCTGACGTGGTTTAATGAACGAAAAGTATAATGTACTTATTTGTAGGTCAATTACAGGGAAAGTTGTACGCTTCGTGTATTTGGTATTCATCATCCTTGTCATTTGTGCATACACGGCTAGTTTTGCTGTTCAAAGGGAAGCTGACTCACAGTCTGAGGTCTTTGGTATAGACTCAATTGAAGAGTTGGTAACAGAAGATGACATGAAATTTGGAATTATTGATGGGGGATCTACAGAGGCGTATCTAAAAGTAATCTTAAAACAGTTTATACTAATAACGATAGCATGGAATCGCATTGATAACTGTTAAATTTAAAAAATGTACAGGGATCAAATGATGAAACGTACACAAAACTGTATGAAATTATTGACCGAGAAAATACAAAGGTTGAAAACTACGCAGAAGGTATTGATTTGATATAATATGTTTTGCTGAAACTTGATACATATGCATGTGTTAATTGTTAAATATTTGATTGACCTCAGGATTGGAAAGGCTTCGACTGGGTTCGTTGTTCATTTTTACAATATCCGTTATATGCACTAAATACGTAATTGTTGTGTACCACTGATTTTAAACCAGACGAAAAGTTTGCTTTTGTTATCGAATCGCCCAAAGCTGAATTCTTTTCCAGGTATTTTCCATAAAAAACAATAGAATAGAATTCAATAATAACTCCATCGATATTCACTTTTTTAAGCATGGAACCGTGCGACTTGGAAACAGGACGGGAAGAGTTCGGTCCTACACGAGGATATGCAATTGCGACAAGAAAGGGTATTAAGCTTAGGTGTGTGTGGATGCAAAATGAGATTTATGAACAAGTATTGACTATTCATTACTATTTTGGCTATATTTGTAAATAATTTGTTTAGTTATGATGTCAACATTGTCATTTTAACACTAAAAGAGAATGGGAAACTGGAGACTTTGATCAGAAAATACTGGAATAATATTGAATGCTCAGACAAGGAAGATGGGGGTGATGATGATTCAGGGGACTCGGTTGAAAAAGTACGTGTTAAGTCCAATCGTCATTATAAACGTGTCATTGAAGATTTCGATTATGCCATTGCAATAATCATATATTAACCACTATGAAATTGCCATAGGATGAATTTGATACTCTTAATCTGAGCGAAATGGCTGGGCTTTTCTACTTTCTCTTTGGTGGTTTAATTCTCATTTTGCTGGTCTGGATCTTGGAACGAAGAGCTACCACCAAATGAGCAGACTTGAAGAAGTTATGATGATGAGACCAAGCATGAAACTACAATACTTTAATAGTTTAAATCCTTGTTTATTATTCGTTATTGGATTTCAACAACTAAAAAAGTTCTTCTAACTGCACACTCAACAAATTTTGTCAAACTTTTTTTTCAAATAAAATACATTGGATTACTTTGTGCAGACAAATCACAAGGTTCACGATTTGCTCCGCCTTTTCCACCAGCAGAAGAACCAACGGTGCAATATAAATGTATATGCACACGCTTATATGTATTTGGCCGTATTATTGCAAGAGTATTTCTATTCCTTACATAATAATATATAGAATCGAAAAGGTAAAAGTTTATAAACCTTCCCACCCGTTCATATTTTTTTCATTCAAGGTACATACAACAACTGCAAAAGTGAAACATCTGCAGATAGACCAATCCACAGAATCCTGCACATATTCGTCCTGTATGTAAGACTTGTTAGGATAGAAGAAACCGGTATTAATAGCGTCTTGTTAATAAAACAACTCATTATTGTCGTGAACCATCTGCCTAGGCAAAGTCCTCCATCTTTGTGAGATAAAGGACCCTGTTGTATCACCGGACCGAGAGCACCCTCGACACAATTCTTTTCGGTGTAACTTTTAACCCGAGTTTGAGGTATAAGTATTTAATCACCCCGTCGCTCCTCGGCCATTATCTCATAAGATCCCTCAATTCACGGTAAGATAAAGACTTGCCTCATTTTATTCTTGTCTAAAAGAAAACCCGTTATTACATTAACTAAACCACCATTTCCACCCGGAAATGTGGAAACTTTGCCAACATTTAGATTTTTTTCCTTTATTTCACTATAATTATCGTCTCAGCTTGATTTGTTTATATCTAATATACGGATATAGATTCAATTATTGCGATTGTCAGTATTCAGTGGTGTTGAGATCAACGACAACCATACACATACTTATGTGCATACATATGTCAAAGCCTCCTTAAATAATCTGGACTGTACCTCTCAAAGTGCATTGATTAAGTGATTAGATAAACATGCATACATGTAATTTGGCACATGTTTTCCACGAATTTGCAAAACTTAGTGTGGTGACAGTACGGATGACGGACACAACATATCAGTAGTACATAGTATGTAGTACATACATAGTACATCTGCTGTAATCTCAAATGCACACAGACAACCGAAATTTCATTTCAAACCTGTTGAGGTTCATTGAGATTCGTCGAAAACAAGACAATCTCACAGTGTACAGTACAGCAGTAAGTCTAGAATTTTCACAATTATTATACAGATTGAGTTTATGTAAGTAAGTTGCAAATCATTTGAATATAATTCAACGCAGCAGTATCTATCCATATCTGACAATATCTGTACTCTAGTATTAAGATCGAGCTCCTTTGAAAAGTTAGAAAATTGTGCATATTGTTGTGAAATGTATGGTACGTATGTACATACATACATACGTAGTTTTAGTCCCAAGCGTTTGATCCTATTTAATATTTATCATGACCAACTTTCATCACAAAAAATATGCGGATAGGACAACGATGGCAAGTGTATTATGAATATCGTGAATTATGGTGACAAACCTGACACATCATATGAAATTGTGATTACGCTGTGAAATAGAATTTTTATCATAATATGAATACAAATACAAGTTCGACTCCAATGTGAATATCTACTTGCATGAGTTTGAATATTTCATAATTGGAATATATCTATATTGACATTACATATGTATTATGTTAGCAATAAACATGTATCAAACAAGCATACATATTTGCATAATTTGCTGCCATTCCAACATCATATGACACAAAATCCGCAACTATTGGTAAACAGTGCAATTTTGGTGATGCAGTACTGTGACATTGGGAAGTTTTATTTTATTGCCAAAATTATTCCAAAGGAAATGGGTGGTTAACCGAGACAAGCGCATTTTGCTCAGCGTGTGAGTGGACAAATAAGAACTTTGCACGATAACCATATCTAATGCAAATTAGGATAATAGTATTAATATGCATTAGCACTATCAGTATTAACAGGAAAATGAGTCACATTATCAGTATGCAGCAGTAGTGTCATTACTTCTTGTAAGTCTGAAATATATGTACCACACATGTATTTGTAAAAGTGACAATACACTGTCCTTGATTCCTTCATGGGGAATATATTTTGTGTGACAGAATTGATGTGCATTATTAAGAACTTATTTTGAAATACAGTAAAAGTGGTATACGTGAATTTTAAGTTTACTTAACTCTGTGCAGGATTCCATCGGTTGTGACAGTCAAATTAAACTTTTTCAACTAACGGGGAAAGACAACATACACATTGAATTGGAATGATAATGTAAGTCTTAATCGGAAAATAAGCTTAATTTAGTATATTTTAATTATCAGATTTTTAAAAATGCAGGTGGTCGGGAGAAAGGCATTTTGAGTTGAATACGTTCTAAATATCCACTCGTGCCAACAAAACTGTAAAATTCAACATGAACACTGAATCCAGTCACTTTAAATCGAAAGATTTTGCAATTAGGGCACAAAAGAAGATCCTTAGTCAATTTTCAAGCAGGAAAACGGCTAAGGTTTTTATTAGCGAGAACTTGTCGACCTTACTGGATTTGTTGTATCAACTTGTCAAAACTCATGTATGTATGCAAAACAATGTTGAAAAATACATATTCAATTTCAACCTGACTGAATTTATTTTCTATTCTTAGACAAGTGATAAAAAAGTAGCGGAAAAGTTTGTCAAGAATCTCATCAAATTGTCAATAAAGATTGGAATTTTGACGCAAAATGAGCAATTCTCTCCGGAAGAAGTGAAAATTGCAAGTAATTTTGCTGAAAAATTTCGAACCATAGCCATGACTATTGCTAGTTTTTCCGAGGTGAGTCCAAACCGATTATGAGTAAAATATAAGTAAATGTGCCTGGTTAGCGGAAGTCATTACTTGACAATAACTACGCGACTGCTTAATTCAGGTGGACTTTTCGTATGATCAAAAGTTCCTTCTTTCTGCTATTGATCACTGTGAGCTTCAAATTACAAGCCTCGTAAAAAACCATTTAACAGAAAAATCTATCAATCGGATCAATTTTCTTGCAACACAATTAAGAGATCCTGCACTTCTCGATGCTGCATTCAATAAAGGGACCCAACAAAATCAAATAATGGTCAAAATTGTGGATGAAATAAATGTAGCATTGGACAGAGGAGACTTGTAACAGTGAAAAATGTGATTTTAACAATTCATTATTAGAGTCATAAATTTAGGTTTATTTCTCGTGTTATTCATTACCTAAATTGTTTATTTGTTTTGTTTTCGTGGGAGTTCTCCTCCTTCTAAACAGCTTAACTTACTCTAGTTTACAGTATTATAACGATACGCATAAACAAAGTATGTACAGCTTCATAACGCCACGAATACATCGTGATTACATATTTATGATAATTATTGTACACAAAGAAATGTATTGTACTTGGCTTGGATAATTACATTTAATAAAAAGTTAGAAATTGAAAGCTGCAATCGCCAAACTGCATTAAAAATTTCATTAAAATCACAAAGTATTTAGATGGTCACCAAATCACGACTATTTATTTCCATTATACTAACAATGAGATTGCGTGACACTATTTATTGGTAGCCAAACTCCTGATATAATTCCCTTCTCGCAGTGCCTGCTTTAGGTGTGAAAAAATTAAATATCCAACTCCAGATCCGATAGCCACAGCCACTAAAATCCAACCGTTGAATGTCATCACGGCTAACATTAGCGTGTAGCCAAGGCATAGATCAATCATATGCAATAACGTCGCAGCCATGAGAGGTAAACAATTTGACCACTGGGTTTTAGAAATTATGATTCCATCAACTTCAGGAGACTTGCTTGAAGAGCCGGGTGTTGACAGTTCCATGGCTTGTGGAACAACTTGCTGGGTTTCCTGCGTTAGCTCATTACTTTGTTTTCTTGATTCCAAGTCGGTAACCCTCAACTTTGTTGTTACACTATCATTGCCACTGGCATATTTCACTTGCAAAGTTTTAGCACCAGTTTGCAGCGTTGAATGGTTTTTCAGTTTAATAAAATTGTCCATCAGTAGATCTCTAAATGTCCGAATACCCTCGTATAATATGGATAGTGCGACTATTACCAAGATGACGATAGTGAAACCTGATTATATTAATAATCTCATAAATATGTATAAATACAGACAGATACATGATTAAATTTTTTTAATTTAAAAATATATACCTTGAAAAGTTGTGATTTCAAGACCTTGAATCAAAAAGTCGTCAAAAGTAATTCCGTTCCAGTAAAACACCATTTTTAGTTAGTAACTGATACTACCTATTAGTAGACTAATGCATGTGTACGCCAGGTCGTGTCCGATTAATGAGTCTAACTGAGAATTTTTTCATGTTAAATGAAGAAGGTTAAATATATTTTTTATTTAATAACATTTAGACTACCTTAGTACAAATATGGACACTCCATGCACCACGCGAAGTTATGCCAATTGTGCTAACAATCGACTCGGCCAAATGAACAAGCAAAAGCCAGATCAGATCACAGAAATGTTCCCGCATGTACCGCATGCAATCCTAGTACATATAACCTAAAGAGCATGGTATAAATATGGATAAGAGAGTAAACAAATTCAACATGTCATCTGTGATGTACTTCAGTCAAGACCTTGATATTAAAATGCATGAGATGTAGAATTATCCTTGAATTGAAACGCCAAAATCATTCAGATGAAAATTACTGTATTATCATGAGGAAAGAGAGAACGCACTAATACCGTTGGGTAGCTTGCTCTATTTATGCAGGATAAATGAACAACTTACATATACATAGGCATGTTCTTATATATATTGCATGTTCATTGCAAAGTCAATGTCAGCGTTATAAATGTCAAAACTTTAAACTCCATTAATTCAGACAACTAAGCGTCTCCCCAACAAACTCACAATTTTGAACTAGAGGTACACTGTGGACCAATGGTTGAACTAACATGCATACACAAGAGAACATACAACTCCAATTTGAGAAAACAGATAACGCTGGCAGTTGTAAAGTAAAATATCTACTTGAAAAGTAATCTGAATGCAAAGGGTTTTTTAAAACTTAGTTCACGAGGCTCAAATAAATCTAGATCGGTATAAACTAATACTAAAGATAATACATATTTATAAAATTTATTTATTTCGGGTAAGAGTTCTTTGTTTCTCTGCAAACTCTACAGTTTTCTCTTCAACACGGAGACCTTTTCGTTTACGGACAGCATTCATGTATTTTCGAGCCCTGTTTTCGGTGTCAGCTTTCTCACCGAAATGCAAATATTCTTCTTCCGTGGTTGGTTGCCAAAAGGGGTCAATTTCCAGTACCTATAAATAAACGCAAATAAAAATCAGAATATTGAGGTGATATAAATACTCATAAATGTTTATACATACACCATTTGTTATCAGCTATGATTATTGTAAGTAGTTTGCTTAGATATATTGATTAACTTGTGAGCATCGCATTATTTATTATGTATCTACGTATGTGTGTTTGTGTGTGATAGCGATGAAGGAGAGGAATACTAATTTATTTTTTAGTCAAAGAACTACACCACAAGGTGTTTCTGTCATATTTTTATTTCACCTGAAGCATTTCATCTTGTTATTCTAACATTTATTAGCCATTATCCAGGTGGCAGGCAAGCCCTCCAATTTACTTGTTCAGAGTTGTTCTCCCTCCTCGGCTGATTCAGTGTGCTGTGTCGTAAGGGAGTGAAGCAGAAGAAGCTACCAGATTCTTCAACCACTTGTTCTCTTATTATTAACAGCCAACCAGTGAATTTGAATACACTGAGGAATGCATAAAAACTTTTGCAATTCATTCATTCATTCATTGAACACGTCGTCCTTTCATTCATTCTGCATGTTTCCTCATCATCATCCTCACCCACATCTTTTTACGTTCAACTTGATCCATTCATTCTGTTAGCAATCTCACTAGGAATCAAAATGCCTTAATGACTTGTCAATGTATTCAATACAGGGACTTCAATTGAATTAATTGTTTGTTACAATCGTCAAGCGAAGGTGGAGGATTGAAAAGAAAACGCAACATGTATGTACGCATTTATTTTGTACTTTCTGGTTCATTTCGTACCTCAACCTCGTTCAACCACGAAAACATGACAATTATATTTGCCACTTTAACCCATCTTACGCATTTATCCTCGGCTAAATTATTAAGGAGCCATTTACACAACCATGTTGTATAGTAATTAATTGTACGCAATTTAATTTTAGAACATGCAAAATCACAACTTGTAATAAATTTGAACATATGTAGGATAGCATCTCAGTCATCACTGAGGACCAACAGGATGGTATGATGTGATATGTGGTAAACGCACCAAAGTCCACACAGTCTCTAAACCATCATGACTTGTGACCCGGTCTTACAGTGCCCACCTTCGAGCTCGCCCTACGCTACGCCTTGATGTTAAGAGTTTACGTTGAAAGTCATTGAAAGTGAAAGAGCCGAAAGTTTCAAGTTTGTATGTTTTTTCGTCCACGAGTTATCGAACCAAAGGACAGAGTAACGATCTTATAAAGGGACTTTCACCCCTTAATAAACGTTAGAGACTTGTAGGGTGTACGGAACCGAGTGTATCTAAACGCCTATATAAATACATATATGTCCGTAATGGGGACTTGATCGAAATATATTTCTTGAAGCAGTCATGGACGGACATTAAGTCAGTCAGCCACCACCAGCTCCTATCCTCAACAAAAAACACTCCTGGTAGGAAAATAGAATAATGACAATAAGCAACTATCAATTACCTTAATTTAACTACTTTGCATAGCAGCCTGTAAAAATCAGAGATTTGCAACAACAACCAGTTTAAGTTTAAGACCAGTAATAATGTTTGAAGTAATATAATCCTGACACTGACGGACTGTGTGATTATATGTAAGAACGACTCGTATGAAGAATCGAGTATTTTTAAATTTCATGACTTGTAAGTTCCAGAACGAATAAGATTCCATTCATCCACTTCATCTCATTTTATCCACAATCCATTCTCTCGACTTTCAACTTGAGAAAAACGAGCGAGCAAAGTAAAGTGGTTTAAAATAAATGGCTTGTAGGGGTGGTTTAGTTCTCGTTGTTTGGATGGACGACAGCTTTATACCTTTGCATTGCCGTTCACCCATTTACAATTACCAACCAAATAACTATGTAACTACTACATGTACATACATACGTGGAGGCTAATAGCATACAGCAGCAGCACCCTAAATTTTAAGAAACATGGTTACCTTCAGTCAGCGAGGTACAGAAAGCAATTTTATGAATGAACGCAGCTTGTGAATGAAAATGAAATGGCCAAGCCTATTTTCACGTTTTTCTCATTTATTCTAATTTGCCTCATGTTTGGAGGTACCTGCATGCGAGTGCAACGGTATATAACAATATAACCACTATACACTCCTGGATTTCAGCTACTCCATTCTTTAATAACAATTATTATTATATGCGTTTATCAAAATTACGTGTATATATGTATGCACACATAGATGAAGGTAGGCTCTTACCCTACCTTAATTTAAAATGCTATGAACCTCCAATATACACAAGTCCCAGTCCCAGCCAAATACATAAATGAGACCGAAGAAGATATGCAAAGAGCACATGGCTTTCACATGTAAAGTCACAGTAGCACCTAAATCATGGTACACAATGCACATGAATCGTTATTGTACTAGTGGGTTATGCCCGTGCAAGCACAGGATTTGTAATCAGAGCATATAATTCGCAGGGGAATTCTGTAAAGGATACAACTGTCAACTGGGTGCTCAAACAAAAATAGAAACATTTTTGCAGTTTATGCACAACAATGTTTTTATGCTCCTTTTATTCAATGATTTAGCCCGAGTCAAGGCTTATAGGACCGTCCGTCAGATCAACACGATAAAGCCAAAACGACTTAACCGATTAACTTATTAACTTGAAATTTTCAGTATACTCATATTGGGCGAAGTAAGGAATCGAGTTTAAAGATGAGCCAAATCGGTTTACTGGTTGACCGGTGGGCTTGGTATATATATTATGTACCAAAATTTCAAAATACTGTTAGGAAGCTGAAATTTGGCACGCAGATTTCTAATGACTTGTAATGAAAGTTTACGAGGTGAAATTGAAAAATTTGTCAACCAGAGGGACCCTAGGGGTTCACCCATTTGCAGAAACTATCGTAAAAGGCTGAAATTCGGCTAAAAACTGAAAATATGGGAAACAAATATGTATGTATGCCCATGCTTATTTAGCTAGTTTATGCGATTATGACTCAAAGTTTTGCTTTTTGGTCGGTGATGAAGAAACATGAATTCTAGCGCTCACCGGCCGGTATTATTGCGGCAAACAGTATGGAAAACGAAGGAAGGTAAAGAACGAAGGTAACAAGAGGGTTGTACAAAAACGACGACGAGTTATAGAGTGAGATAAGTTGATGATGACGGTGGAATAAAAGGGTGATTGCGTGAATAAAATCACGCTCACGCTTGCATTAACAAATTCCATCGCATGCCACAGCTAATAAACATTCCATTCCATCAACCCTCAAGCAAAATCATACCAGAGTACTTGGTAATCAATAGTGCATACAAAATTGCAAAGAGATTCCACTTTACCACATTCCAATCTGGATAATCTGTTTTGATCAACATACATCCACTGTAGCATTGCATTACACACATGACATCGTCCTATTTCTCCATTTCTTTCTTTTTTAGTCTACAGTTGAGAGTAGACATATTGCTCTCAATACTCGACCACAGAATTCAAGGGAATCCAAGTAAAAAGTTAACCACGGCCAATTCTGATGATTACCATGCAAAATTGCCAGTTCAATCTCCATTCTGACGATTCTCATAGAATAGTGCAAAGCAACTTGAAACATTCTATTTGAAATAAGTAATGCCAGGTTTATTCTAGACATATGTACTTGGAGTTATCCAAATCCATACTATATGTTGTATATTTAGAGAATAACTCTTCAAGTGAAAAATAGTTAATAGTATTACAACTTTTAGATAACTGAAGAGCAGTTACTGTAATGCAACCTATATGTGATGTGGGCCTCATACAAAAATGTACATGGTATAAATGATACAAGTGCCAATATGGTATTAGAAGGGAGATGACACCACATACATGTATATATAGGGGAAAGCCATTGTGTAATGTTTGTGTGTAATATATCGCTCAGTAAGGAGAGGAAAATGATATATTTTATCATAAAAACATCTAATACCTGACTAAAAAACTAATATATTTAATAATTCTGCAATAATGAGTTACCTCGAGTGCTAAATGATCTAAATAGGTAAACACGCTTTCACTGTTTTAGTTTATAAAATATAAAAATTATGTGATGTGCTGATTTAATGCCGACGTAGTCAGGGGGTAAAGAAATCGTTTTAAAATATGGCGAAAAGTTACGAGATCAGCATCCAGGCGCCAGAAGGATGCATTAATGGTCTGAAAGTGGCTTGAATACGTGTAATTTAACAAGTTTGGAATGTAAGAATGAAAATGTTGAACTTGATTATTAACCTTTTGCATAGTGGAGTCGAATAAACAATTCATGTTTAAATAACGAGTTACAAAACGAAGAACACAAATAAGAGTTTTATCACTAAAATTCGAGTCTAATTAGTAATCATTCGTGGTAATTGTGTAATTAGTATTTGGTTGCGGATAAATCTAACCTTAACATGAACCCTCCACAACTAAACTCTTTACTCTAATAAACAAGGCCCCAAAAAATGGGAAATCTTAGTGAGTCAGCGCAATCACAGTTAATAAATAAAATTAGATTGAATAATTTTTTCATCACCGCTCTCGGTATAATTTTTCCTGGAAGCATTAATTAATCATTTAGAATAATTGCCCCCCCCCCCTCAAAGGGTCTGGAGATTTCATCTGAATAGGAATTAATAGGATATCTAAATTTATATATCGAAATTGTAGATTTTCAAATCTTTCTAAATTTAAAATTCGCAGTTCACAATTATATTTCATATCGATTAATTTATTCAACTTCTCGTTCAATAGTAAAAACGTCATCTTGTAATCTCAATTAATTTAATGAATGCAAGAGTTCATGCGTATGCAAAACTAAATTTACAGTGGACCCAGTAAAAATTATCCCGAGAGCGGTGATGCAAAAGTTATTCAATCTAATTTTATTTATTAACTGTGATTGTGCTGACTCACTAAGATTTCCCATTTTTTGGGGCCTTGTTTATTTAAAACTTGTAATTTGGTTGTCAAAGACATTATTTTTACTGCACAACCGCCGTTATTATCGGCACCTTGAATATTTTTATTAAATTTTTGATTTTCAAACTTGAATAACGCCCTTATTTCTCAACCGATTTAGGTCATTTTGCGCTTAAAATGTCCGGAATGACTTTGACTAAAATATTTTCAATAAGCGAGCATGCTGGGATACACCACTTATGAGTCATAAAAATAAATATGTTTTCAGAGGAAAATTTTTGCACATTTTGGCACATAACTTGGGTAAAAATCAAAAATTCGCCAAGTCGACTAGCACATCTTTTCTAAATTACCTAACAATGATCTGTGCAAAATTTCATCAAAATCGGGTGAGAAATGGCTGAGAAATCGACTTATGTCACTTTTTTTGGGTGGGGTAAATGCATACAGGGTGGTTAAAATGTCACGCAACAATGGAAAATTTTTCGATGGGAAAAATTTGTAAATTTCCATTAGTTACCGAAATTTTGTCTCTAAAATGCAACATTTTAAGAATTTTGTCATCAGTTTTGATAATAATTTACAAAAATCTCAATCCGAAATCTTGTAACTAATGGAGATTTAGGGACTTTTCCCATTGAAAAATTTTCCATTGTGGCGTGACATTTTAACCACCCTGTGCTTAGCAATTTTTTTTCGTTGTCAGGTATTTGCCTCACTAAGAAAAAGGAATTTAAAGGAATTTAATCAAAGTATAATATGACCAGGAGTTTTTAAAGCACAACATTAACTCGTGTACAGATGTGATTAAAAGAGTGTCAACCCGTTATTTAATGGGATGCAATCAGCGGTTGCAGGTGAAATTAAGCATAGGATAAAAGTTGAGGAAGAATTGTTGGTGCTATGAAAATTCGTGGTCAGTGCATAGGGTCAAATTTCAGACATTCAGACGCCGATCAACAGTTCACTAAAACATGTTCTAGTTTTCTCAGTTTTCTATACTTTAATATCCACAACGCGAGAGCATGTGAGTATGAAATGTGAAATGGATGTTGAGTATGCAGCATTAAACATATTAGGCTTCAAAGATACATTTTCCCTTAGAAAGCTCAAATCTACTTGCGTATAAGTCACTCTTCAATTTTATAGTCCATCAATCAATTTTGACTCATTCATACGTCAAGTAACTAAAGTCATACATAACAAATGGTAACAAATTTCACATTACTTACCTCCCAACCACAAAACACCAACTGTGGAAGAGCCAAACCCGAGGTTTGTTGTCGAACTTCGTTGGCGAAATCAAAGCTTTCTATAACAGGGAGTAGCGCAGTCACTTCGAAATTCGCCGACCCTTCTTGCAAGTCTCCGTGTAGTATACGCCCGCACCTTTTCCCCAATACAGCATAGAGTTTACCTGAAATATATATGTATATATTTAAAAAGACCATTATTAAGCATTCAGGCATAAACATGCCCACTATGTATATACATACGCTATTATGCAACTGACATATGTACACGTATGTATATAAGAATTTATAGGTATTGTGCGATTTAAAAAATTATTATTCATTATCATTTCCTTCACATTTCCAAATATTGCAAGTTAACGTACTTTGTGTATAACATACATAAAATCTTCAGGTGGTTACATTTAGAGAATCTCGTGAAAGCGAACAGAAAAGAGAGAAAAATAGCGTAGTAGTGTTCCTCTGTTACTTTGTTTTCTTCTGAATAAAAAAGTTCAATGAAGCTCTCTGATGCGATAAAAGCACAGATTCTGATGAAGTGCATAAGCCAAAGGCATTGGCAACAGGTGGGGAGGAGGAGTAACATGACGTGAGCTGAGGCGAAGATTAAACTTATCTATAAAACGCTATTATAAATCTCTGGTTTCTTGACATAAAAAAACTAGCTACCGTGTTACGAGCAGTAAAAATTAACCCTTGCCAAGGCTGTTGCAACATCCCTTCGACTTTTCTCGGGATAGGATAAAGGTCGTTTGGGTTTGGATATACCTGAGATGTTGGCTTGTATCAAGAGTTTGCTTTATTTCATACCCAACAACCCAACCAACGTCTCTCTGAATTCTATAATGATCTGATGATCTCAAAGCACAGCATCTTACAACATCCCAGTTAAGTTAGAGGGATGCTGTATTGAAGTGCTCGTATTTCCACTCAATCTGACATGAGAGAAAAAATACAGTGAAATGACTTCAGCTTGACAGGGACTTATTAGACACCTTCAACGAAACAAAACAAAAAACATTTACCACCACTGTGATAAAGACAAAAAGAGCAATCTACCCACCATCAGGATGGTGTTTATTTTATTTTACTCCACTTTAATTAGCCAGAGAGAGAGAGAGATGTAGTTATTGTGTTATGTAAATGCACGGACGTAAAAATTGACCTGTAGCATATTAAACTAGTCATTCCTGCTTTTGTTGTTCTTGTCTCTTTTGTGAACTTAGGAGGTACAAGTATAATTCCAAGACCGAGCTTCACTTGGTGTAAGTACAACACACCTGCTCCAGAGTACACATCCACAATAAATTTAGGATCGATGTTCATAGAGAAATGTACACACACGACACAACACATATGTATATGTGATTGTGACGAAGGCAAACAAAATTGACATCCAAGTTCATATATACTTTTACCAAAAAACAATAAAAACGATGCAAGATTATTACATCATCATCATACCCCGGACAAATATTTTTTTATCCTACCCTACTCATGTTGAGCTCAACACGAGTAGGGTAGGATAAAAAAATATTTGTCCGGGGTATGATCATCATACATAGCACACATGTAGGTACATAGCCTATGTATAATCGCAATCCAATAATTACATACAAGAAGCACCACTTGTGCTCGGTTCGTCTTAATTGTGATTTCTTAGCTCGACAAGTGTGTTGCGCAGTGATAGACAGGGATGGGCAATCCCAGGATTACTTTAATCAGATTAAGTAATCAGATTACTTTGAATGTAATCCGTAATCCAGTAATCCACAAAAAATTTACACTTTAAAGTAATCCGTAGTCCGTAATCCTAACTAGCTCTGGAAATGATATGTAATCCGTAATCCTCAATTTACGGGATTGGATAATGTAATCAGATTACGGATTACTTGGTTGGATTACTTTGCTCATGTGAACAGCATGACAGCTCCATCTCGCAAATATCTCCAGAGTCTGAGTTACTTACTGAACTTGAGATCCTTTTGGATTTTTCAGCAGAACACTGCTGAAACATCCAATAGGTACTTTCAAATCCAAAATTCTCTAAATTTTGCGCCTCAGCGCAAAGGTGCAAAGTCAAAAGAATTTTTTAATGATTAAAAGGATTTTAACTTATGTTCTGCAACACTTCTCTACGATCATCTGCACCTTCAGAACGTGTGTTTAGTTCCGGCAGAATAATTTATCCGTCCTAACAAACCAACTGTCGGATGAATCATTTAGAGCTCTTGTTTTTTGACAACTAATCATCATCATGAAATGAAAATTTGACGTTATTCAGAATAAATATACATTTTTGTAATCCAGATAATAATCCGTAATCAGATTACTGTAATCCGTAATCCGTAATCCACGCCATTAATTATTCCAAGTAATCCAACAAGTAATCCACATTATTTCAAGAGTGAAGTAATCCCAATCCAGTAATCCCACGATAACTTTTAAATTAATAAATTTGTAATCCGTAATCCATCGTAAGTGTTGGGATTGCCCATCCCTGGTGATAGATTTAATACCGCATTCTATTTGTTCATGGAAAAAGGTGTTGATACAAATTGAACGGAAAGACCAGTAGTTTCGTGGCTGTTGTATACATAAATACACATGCATAAGGTAAAAATTATCTTTCACTATACATATGTATGTATATCAATGCATATTATATGTAATATATTATATATGTATGTATGTCTGATTTAGTGATTATGCATATGCAGTGCAGAGAAAATACTCCCAAGCATAGCGTTCACGCATTAATACGACGAGTACTTATTTGAACTGGTTTACTCAGGATCAGTAGCAGCGAATGTACGTATGTACATGCACACTGTGTAACAGTGCAAGCATAGCAAGAGCAGTACTCTTTGGTCCTTAGAAAAGTCGAGATTCTAAATTGTGTGGTGTAGGTACGTAGTAATATTTACAAGTAGCATGTAGTACCCAGCACAGACAAATATAATTGATGTGTCACAAGGATGCTTATATTTTTATTGCGTCCACCAGGTCGAATAAGAGTGAACCAAACTCCAGGTGCAGGATTGAACAGAGACCCAGCAAAGCAGACACAAGATAGTAATCCCTTTTTAAGTTCAGCCTAAAGATCCTAATTTCATATACGAGAATTGAAATAGTCTTCTGTGTATCAAGAACATAAATACATACAACAGTAGATCTGCAGACAAAAACATGTCATCTCGGTCAATCCAAATACAAGCCTGCTGGACTACGAGAGAGAGAGAGAGAGAGAGAGACCAATTGATTTGAACGGTATAGATTTAGATCCCTTAGAAACACTTTTTCATTTACCTTTTCCCGTATCATCATCATTCATGTACTTTTAGACACTTCCTCAATGAAACTCAGCAGGGGATTTGTAAAGGAGGGATTTTGTTCTTCGCCATATAAAGCACAACAACTTGTAAAATCTAACTCACTTTGGCCCTTAAAACCTTGAAATAGGCTGTACGATGCATTGTGTCATTACAAGTCAGGTATATGGAATTTGCCATGTCTATTAAATAATAAGTTCCCTCTTACAAGCAACGTTTCTGTACGTCTTACTATTTTATCGCAAATATCTAATATTCTTCGTAAAATAATAATTCTCATGGATTCTGATGAAATTTAGTTCTGAACCCATGCATTTAGTTTCAATTCTCTTTGGTCAGAAATAAAACGATTCAAGCAAGCTCCAGCTCCAGCTTGTGAACATTCACAAGAAAATAACCTAAGAGAATACGTATATATATACATACGTACCTACGTGTAATAATATGTATTGTTTGGATGGACTGGGGAAGTTGTGTGAACTCACTACTACTACGAGACGACTACTAATAACAATTATATTTAACTACCTGCTACAGCTACTGTTTTCACCTTGCCTTTTTGCTTCCTTCCTGAGACTGTAATAGTGCTAAGCATTGTTTTGTTAGCGTACTTCTACCTTGCTTTGGTGTGCTCTTTTTCCTTACTTGGTCCAGTCAAATCTAAATCATAATCATCCTTCTAACCGCAACACACCTACACATATGGGAAGCGACCCTTGGTTTCCACTCCCCAGCAAAAAGTACTCGAGAGAGAACCCTAAACCCCAAACCATAAATAGGGACTGTGAGACAGCAGCAGTAAAACCTGCTTTAAAAACTTCCTCGACTAACTTTTCAAACAGATTCCCTGCCTTCTGCTTCTTAATGTTGTCTTGAAAACTTACTCTTCATCAGTTGGGTTTTCTTACATTCACCCAACAAGTCAAGCTCACATCGATCTTCACGAAAGAGCCACTGATTGTAAAATGGACAGGCCAAACACACACCTTCAGTGAACCACCTGAGTTTTCATTCATAAAATTTGAAGAGGTTCTGCCGAGTCTACTACATACATTTCTGCTGGCTGCACTATTCTCTTCTCGACTTCCTTCAAAGAAACATCGTGCATCATCAGATTATCATTAGAGTGGACTCGTCTCTCGTCCTCGTCGTCACCTACTACACAATTCACAACTCGCTACAACAATCAAGCAACAACTTTGCAGTTCACTACCAAAACTTTTCAAAAAGACTTTTCTTCACTTGATCATTGGTACACAATCTGCTAAAACTGTACACATGTGTGTTACGTGACATTATTATACCACCAGAATGAAGGATACAAAGTTTGTTTAGTACTCGTATGTTTTGTACACGTATGAACATGTACGATAAGCATGCAATTATGGAACCACTGCTAAATAGTGCAATCAAACTATTATAAGCTAATACAGTGATTAAAAATATATTAACTTTGTGCAGCTTGTAATCCATTGCATACATACTATTATCACAAACTGTCAAGTGCAAAAACGAGTTTCATAAAGAAGCTAACTGAAAAGCACGGTTTTTTTTTCTGGTGAGCAAGTGCAAATTTGGTTTCTTGCGGAAATGCCAGGAATTGAATATAATGTTTCATGATGATATACAAATCTGATCAAAGTTCAGCTTCATTCGGTGGAGTATCTCATTTAGTCTTAACTTATCTCGGGCTGATTTTGATACAACTTCAGCTCAATTTTGAGAACAGTGTAGCATTTACCTCTGCTAGAGGGTCGACGCTAACTGCAGTTCATCCACAAAGGATCTTTTATGCCAATGGGGTAAGTTGGTACAAAAAGTTGATATTTAAACATTTCATGATTAATTGCTAGAAAAATTTTTATAACAAAAATCCAATAACTGCAATCATAGATAGTTATTCTGTGGTTGGGATAAACGTGTTAATGTTTACAAGTGGGGCTTGTTGAGAAATGTTTTCAACCTGAGCATTAAGTCAGTACAGTTGATTTTCTAGAACAACGAATAAATCGTCTTGAACTATATAGTAGTCAATTAAGTATTGCGTAATAATAGTAAAGTAACTACGCACAATCAGGCCACTTTCCTTCACACTATGCTAATTTTTGTTGAACTATATCTTTACAAATATATACAAAATACAAGTCTCAACTTGCAATATGTAAATGCATGTATGTGTACAACCTATATATATATATGCATTGTTATTTCTCTAATTAATTAATCCAAGTAATTAAGAATGAATTGATCAAGTAATTAGTTCGTTGTCCATTATTAGATGAATAAGACGTCTTTACCAGAATGTGGACATTTGTCCGTTTGCAACAAGATTGATGTTTACGACAAGGTAAGGCTATTGTACCATACTTACATACACTATGTAACATAAATCTAGCTACGATGACAATTTTTATATCAACATGATGCCGTAATGTTTCAACTTTGAAACGCCGTACAAAAATGTCAAAAGCATATATAGACCCACCCGATATGCAAATGTATATTTCAGTTTTTGATTTTTCGCCGCGGTGGCGATTTTAGACCTCAAACCTGTCCCTGGCGAAAATTCCTGTGGGCGTCAAAAAAATCGTACACGATAGCTCTTGTTTTCAGAAGACCTTGCCGAAAAAGGCTCTTCAATAAAAAATATTGCAAAGTTAAAAAAATTATCCACGAAGTTTTTTTCGACGCCTAAAATTTTTCCAAAATAATCCTTATCTTTGACCCATCTTCGACATTAAAAATCGACGAGGAAATTGTCGGCAGATACTTTTGACATTTTTGTACGGAGTTTCAAACTTTCAAAGGTGAAACATTACTGCATCATGTCGATGTAAAAAATTTTGTCATCGTAGCTAGGGGCCATCCATAAATTATGTCACGCAAAAATCGCGATTTTCTAGACCCCCGCCCCCTCCTCCTCCCTTTAACATATGTCACATTGGCACGATATCATTGGAGCCTTTGACCCCCCTCGCCCCTCTCGCGTGACATAATTTATGGTCCTTCCCCTAGACTTGTTACATATTGACAGTTTGCACACACGCTTCAGGTGAATTCACAATAGGCTAATCCCAATGACTTGATATCTAAATGTCAAATTATTAATAATTACTATTTTTATAAAGCTGTGGATTGAAAAACAATGCAAGTGCCCCTCTCATGCCCCCGTCTGCTCAACTTCCACCCATTCAAATGATGGTCACACTGTTAGCGATAAGACTCGACTTTATAAGGTAAAATAATACATATATTTCTTGGACTGTTGTCACCTTCCCTAGATATTTATTAGATCATTAATATTTCAGATTTGCGAACCCGTGAGAAAATTGCCAAAATGTAGATACTTTCGTGATATCACGTGGGTGCTGACTACGAAAAATGATACTTTAGTGAACCAGGTAGTCAACTGCATTTGTCCGAAAGATTCTGTAGCATACATGATCAAACGTCAAGCGTTCACAGAATCCGACGATAGCGTAGGGTTCAGATACTCGTTTGCCTGCTCACCTCCAACCGTAAGTAGAATTGTCTGATATGCCAATATTATTAATTAGATAATTAATAATACATAATCAATGTAATTAATGAGGTATTAAATATCAATAAATAAATTTCAGCGGGTTCTATGCCAGAGGAAGGAGCCTTGCAGACTATTCAGTGTAAAAAGAAGATCCTCGTTTACGGAAGTGAACACTAGTGTATTGTGTCACTGTCCGAGAGGCTTTGAGTGTCCAAGTCATCATACCGACTCCACTGTTATTCCTGGAAAATTCTATGACCTCTTGACCAGGACATTTTCTGGCTACTGTGTATAGCATATGAAGGTCTTAGTCTTGAGCACTTTCAACCAAAATCATGACATTATTTTTCTCCACTCCTCTTGGAGCTTCTACTTAGCCTATTAGATTAATAACAATAACGGTGCCATGAAGCTCTCAATGAGCAAAATACGTGAGAAAACATATATTTCACATATTTGTGAATAGCAAGAATAGTATTTCACATATGTCGTAGCGAATTAGATTAGTGAAGTGATGTTAAAGCTAAAATGAACAAAAGTATGTATAACAAATGAAGAAGATATACAAAATCCTTAAACAAGACTGGTGAAGTTATGAATATTTCAATATCAACTTTCTTAAACTTTCCTAATAGAAATGAGAGAAACGTGTTAAAGGCCAAACTTTTTGCTCAAACGATATAATGCAACTGAAGCAGTACTACTACTACTACTACAGATCACAAAAATACGGTACAACCAAGTTAAAAAACTGCAAGTAGAGACGTATTTCTATAGTACAACGATATAAAGTATTTTTGGAATGGATGACAATCAGGAAACCATAGTCAATATTTGTCGGCCTCAAGGTTATAACAGGGCTGGTATTTAGATTTTAATTTACAGCCAGAAAATTTAGGAGGAAATTCGGTTAAATATAGATGAGGGAAAGGGGGATATAATTTTGAACTTCAAGTAACTGTATTTTATCTGTCTACAAGCCACCTTATCTTGATACAACAAACAGCATACAGCATATGTATATATGTAGCAATAGTAATAACTACTACTGGACTCTTTATAAGGAGAATCGGTTAATCGTACAAATCTGAATTATAGACACAAATTCATATACTTCTAAGAATATTGGTTAAGGTTAATTACAGGAACTGAAGCATAGTTATCGAATCGATGTGCTGTATGTATGCAAAGATTCATTTTTATGTGCAAGACAAAGAGTGAAGGAAGGACTTCTAAAATTATATTTACTTAGCTTGTAGGTGATGTTTTAGCTTTATGAAATTGAACGTGACGTTACAATAAAATTCACATTCTAATGTAAAGCAAAAAACCAATGGTGTATTAAATCTACATTAATTCTACATTACTTACACATGAAACAGAAAAAACTTAATACGGATTTAGTGTAATAATAAATCTTACCCAAAACTTCTCCATTGACTTGTATACTGCAACTGTACATTGCAACTTTCAGTCTCTGAGCTTGAGTTTGAAACGATTTACGGCAAGCATCTCTGACACAAGACATGAGTTGACCAGAAAATGGGCCGAAGGGATGATTCATGCTATCGTCCGTAGCTTCACTATCCATTAGCCAATCTTCCACAATAAATGCTACCCCTGAAATTACAAATAAACTAAAACTTAGTAAAGTTATAGAAGCACGATTGCAAAATGATTACAAATATTTAATCTCGATGGATAAACATAATTTACATATATAGAAAATAAAATAAAATCCAATTATCAGTTTATAGCTGAAACTATTGAAATATGCATAATCACGTTAAAGTAACTTGTCAGATATTTAAAAATAAGTTACCTGACATTGGTTCTTCGCAAAGTGGCCCAGCTAATGTGGCAAGTTGAAAACCATTGACAAAATTGCTGTAGAAAGCATCTAAAGTAGCAGAATATTGATTGGAGTTTTCACTTGTTGTCGTTCTTGGCCATACCCCCCGACAATTATATCCTGGAACTTTATTAATTAGTAGATTGGGGCCACACCCTACAATTATAATAATGGAAGAAGTTAATAGACTTGTTTCAATTTTATATTATTATAAGTCCTACATTTTATAATCTTCTTGTCATGTAGTGTAATACTCATGAATAATCATAGTCGAGTATAAAAATTGAATAAATTATTATACAGCTTACGTTTAGGGCCGAAACTCCAAATTTGATTAACTGTTTCTTCGTCCCAGCCCTCTTTTTGAAATTCCCCACGTAAATTTTCTTTCAGATCAACTATATCTTTTAAAATCGATTCCGATAGAATGTCAATTTTAGTATTTTCACTTTCTTTGAGTACTGTTATAAGGTTAATTGAGTTTTCTAGTAGTTCTGTAACTCGATTTGGTAAGGGTTTAGCTCGAAGTTTAATTGTGCACTTCTTGTTAGACGTCGCTTGAACAATTAGTTCACTTTCATGTTCTTGAGAATATTTCTTAGCGTCATGTCCTCCAGAAGAAGGGTGATTTTCAACTAATTCATTCACCATATCCATTTTTGGAGGGTCAATAATCGTCTCACGGAATGGCACGATTGGCTGAAGTAAATAGAAATATAATAATTACTGAACGAGTCAATTGAATTTAATGAAATATCGCATACAAAACCACCCACCTTAGATACAGTTACTTCCACTTTTGCAAACCTTTGTATGTAATGACATAATAATGTTACTCATGGACAATTTTACTTCGAATGAATGTACACTTTAATATAAATTCAATACCGTTCACGCAAATCGTCAATGCAGCGTTGTAAGTGCACTTCTCCAGCCGTGACTAAAACGTGTTCTCCTGATTCCTGAACTAATGTCTGAACACAAGGATCTGCAGGTAAATGACATTGTTAGTCATATCGCTATCATGCACAAGCCACAAACCGAGTGGTCGAGGACGCCACTCTTGGCTTCCACGCCACCAAATTAAGAGATTTGTGTTCATCTGCTCACAAAATGAAGATCGTTGTAATACCAAATTCGCAAGGATTACATTCTACATTCTCACGATTTATAAAAAAATATTCATATATAGTATTACATAAAATCATGTTCATTGCACCATAAACAATCCACCATTAAACTTTTTCTAGTGACTAAATTTAAAAAATCAGTGTATTTTTTTGTTGTAAAATATATGATCATGATCTGCTCATTCAGTTGCTAAAAATATTATTGCCTTAATTTACATTTCTAGGTATCATTCTTGCTCAACTTTAGCTTAAAATCATATAATTTTGCATTTTCGTTAAGTATTTAATTACGATAAAATATTTTGTAGCTCACCTGCTTGATTAAGTAATTTCATTCCATTAACAAGACGCGCCATGTCCGACGTTCGTACAGGTTCAATAGCAACTCGAAGAATTGGAACAGAAATTAAATTCAAATCTGTGAAGGAAGGACAGCTCAATGTCGACGATATTGTAGCTGTTTTTAATATATGATCATCTAATCCTCCAATTCCTGTCATTACATTTATAATGGACATTGTAAATTTTAATTATTTTACTAATGAAAATTGCATTTCCTAACTCCCTAACCATATTATATCAAATAGAAGTAGCAACTGACCACAAATATTTCCGGCAGGTACCTCTTGTAGCATTTCTAGCTCACGTCCCATTAGTTGATAAAGACTTTTAATTTCAGACACCGTAACATGTTGCCCAAGGGGTAAATCTTTCAAAGTGTGTTTTGGATCTACTTCAGCATCTTTAAACTAAAACATACAAGACAATCAAACAATGAAAATGATAAACGCCAACACTTTAGTTAATTGCAATATATTTTCAATACTAATCATAATAAGATCACCTTTGTACCGCCATCCACAGGATCATATCTGGGACCAAGAATATAAAGCTTACAACCCTTTTTAACTGTGCCGCTATAAACACGTGCGAAAGCAATAAAAACATCTGCATCTTCTGATATTGTCTCATTAACAACGTTGTTATCATTGTCATCCTTATTTTCAGAAGTTAGACAATAGTTTGGACTTGTATCCCCATTAGATTCTGATCTTTCTTCCAATTGTTTTGCATTTTTTTCAGCAAGTCGCTGTTTTGCTTGTTCACGTCGGGCAGCAATTTCCTCGTAAGACAAAATTTTTGGACGGTTTTCGGGAAGTGACTTGGATTCTACAGCTACCATTTTTGAAACAAATATTATCACAGGTGCGTCATCAGAACTATTGCAATTCAGGAAGAATTCTTTCAACTCTTGACTTCTTTTTGGAAGGGCTGCAAATTTTCGAGCATGCGAAAACATTAATCGTTCCACCTTTTTGTCTGTTAGTTCAAGTGGACTTGGTAGTTTCTCGCATATTGTATCTAAAAATGTATTATTAAAAGTTATACCATATAATTTAACAATTTGTTTTCAATTGTTTTTAGAACCCTTACCAAGTAGAGCGGTTGACAGAGGAAGCCATTTAATCATTATGGCATACAAAACAAGCTTAGGATCTGTGGGTTTCAGTTCTCTTGGATGAATTTGCAAATTCAAGTTATTGACAATTTTCAAAACCATTTCTTTGTCCTTTAAATTTGCAAATTTGAATTAATAAATAAAAAATTACGTGAAATGAATTAAATAATTGAGGGTCTTATGGTATTAAACAATCAAACCATAAGCTTACTTTTCTTACAGCCACAGCTTCATACATTGCCCAAATATTTTCTAGAACAAGTTGAACGAAAAGAGGTTTCTTGGCCTTCTCCTGTGCACCCTTCATAATTCGCTTTAGTTTTGTATTTATATAATAATTTCCCCAGAGAGTTGCATTTAAGACAGTTTCATTAAATCCAAGTTTTTTGGAGAATATTTTAGCAAAGTCCGAAATCCTTAACATTGAACATTTGATGAAATTAATGTTCAAATGGAATTACTCCTTTATTGTAGAATTACGTGATATCTCCTCACCTAAACCCCCATCCGTCCAGGGCGCAAGCGAATACCACATTTCCATGTTCTGGAGCAAAGTATAACTGCGAATCATCAACGTCATCCAAACCCGTGCTCCAATCTTTGATATTGTGTTCTGTAATAATAGTATCCTCAGATATTGAAGTACTCGTGGAAGTTCCTCTAGATCTTGACTTTCTAGATGGGATATTAAATCCTTTGCCGATATCAGTAACCAATAATTCGGCCATCACAGCATTAACCTATAAGTGATAACCAACGTGAAATCTATATGGTCGCTCGCTATATATTAAAGGCATTAAGACAACATTATATCTTAGCCAGGGTCAGGGCTTGTGCAACGTAGTTTAGTTGGGTCATCTGACAAAAATTTAGATATGCCTTTGACCCTGGCCCTGACTCAAACTAAATAAAGTCTGCACTATATGTTCTACCTACCCTTTCCAAAATTTGTGTTAAGTGTATGTATGCATCCAAGGGGGTAAACTTTAATTCTAGAATTATTCTATCAAGCTTGTTAAGAACCAATATCGGCTTGATGTCCTCTTCCCAAGCATGTCGAAGAGCAACCTGTAAATCATAGTGTGGATAAGTTATATTCGATTCCACTAGGAAAATACAAAACCAGAATAAATAAAAATGTATAATCACTCACGATAGTTTGTGCGCAGACACCTTCCACGACATCAACTACAACTACTGCTCCGTCACAAAGACGAACAGCAGTGGTAACCTAAATTAAAGACATCTTTTTTAGCAACTTGTTTCATTAGGGATTTCTTGGAACTGAATGGACGACTACATTTGTCGCAGTCAAATTCCCTCAAATGTAACTTTTCATGCTAAAAGAGACAACTGAATCTACTCACTTCCGTTGAAAAATCTACATGACCAGGTGAATCAATTAAATTGACTAAAAAATCGTCCGGGTCGCGGTGATGGTAGAGTGCAATAGAACTGCTTTTCATGGTAATTCCTCTCTCCTGCTCATCTTTCCGACTGTCCATGTACCTGTTTATATATCCACAACCATTAATTAACCGTGATGCATACATAAAGTGCACATGATGAATGTAACTTAGTCAAATGAAAAATGTTATACCTTAATTTACCAGCAAGTCTTTGTGAAATAATGCCATTACTAGCAACCAACGAGTCAGCTAAGGTTGTTTTTCCATGATCCACATGTGCTAAAATACAGATGTTCCTAATTTTGTCTGGACTCTTTTGCAGGTCAACTAATTTCTCAAACGTGACAAGCCTCATGGTATGATATTACTAGAACCCCACTGGTCACAATCAATCCAATAATATTCTGCAAAAGGTGGGTTTTCCTAAAAATATACAGTGGTAATCGTCAATAAATGTGATGGAACATAAATATGATCGAATCATGCATGAATCTATATTCACGAATAGAAACTAAATTTTAGTGAAAGTTTCTATTCGTGAAATTTAGTCTAAAACTCTAAAACCAACCTGATTTCTCCACTTTTGCAAAAAGATAAAATTGATGTTGGAGCCTTGAGGTATCTAAACAATTCAGAAGTTTAACTATCAGATATTTACATCAAATTTTTCTCATAAATTGGACGAAAAATTCCAATCTTTTTCTTTTTGGAACAATGAACAACGTGTCGTGGCGAACGATTTTTCTGCCAGGTGATGTTTGATGCTACCACGCTCAGGTTCAAAGAGAATGCAAGTCGCCCCTGATACCACAAAATCAACATCCATATAAACTATTGAAGTAAAATAAATCAGTTTTTTGATTAAAAATACTTAATTTTAGTGTGAACCAAGTGCACGTAGTTATCAAAATAATACCTACCCCAGTCAAACTGTGATCTAGTATTAGTTTATTAGTATTATTTTTTATGCAATATTGCATAAATTGGCTTATCATTTTGTATCATGTGATATCAGCTTCGCGATTTATCTACGACACATACTAAGCGCTGTTTATTTTTGTGATTTAAAAGAGTCAAGTTCCACATCCACAATTGTAAATTAAAGCATGCCATATGCACTTTTTAGCATGTCCAGGCACCAAGTGAACAGGGCGAGCGCTACAAAACCTAATTGATCGACTAGTAAGTAGATTACGGCAACTCTTGACCGAAATACTGTTTCGTTGGTATCTACTTCGTCCACACCACCCACGACCTCATTCCACACTCCGTAGCTTTCTTGTTGAATGTCGAATAAATCGTACGTAAGATGTATAAAAAATCGTAACATGCTAATCTCAGTCACGCCATAATATCTCATTCACTGGTAATAAAAATAAAATAATAAAAGTATTGACCCCTTTTCAGGTTTCAAAGCAATTCCTCAGGCTCGGGACCTGGGAGTAGAACTAGGAGAAAAATGAGTGGAGAAAGACAACAAGCACTGAGCAAAAATAAATGCAAAGAACTTATTCAGGATATGTTGATTTCGAATGGGCATAGAGAAATGTATGGATACTTTCAAAGTATTACTTTGATATATGTAAATTGAATAAAATTGTTCGTTGTTTTCATACAATATTTGCATATTTTAGGTTGAAACGATTGGTTCAGAGTCGACTAGCTCAGTCTGGTGAAAGATATTTATTTTACTTTTTACAAATTTCCATAATCTCAAGTTTCGATACAAATTCTAAAGTTTCGAGGAAAAATATATACGAATCTCTTTACTTTCAGGATGGACTTACGCCATGCGGACGACTTATATCGATTACATTAAACAAAAAGGCGTCGAAAATGTCAACGTGTCACATATGATAGCGGAGACAGTGCCTGCAGGCGTTGGTCAGTACCCAAAACAACAAATTGCCTGCCCTTCAATAATAATATATTATTGTCAGGAGTAGACAATTTTTTCTAAACGCTCGCCTAAAGCAAATTGCAAATCATAAACTAACCATTAATTCAGCAATATTTTTCAATTCTATAGAAAGCTTCCCGGATGCCGTTAGAAAAGAAATTGAAGATTTGTTATGGAACTTTGCAACAGAGTTCATCTCGGTTGACGAAACTTTGTTACCCCCTGTGGACAATGAAAACTACTTCCCAGAAGTGTTCACTTATCAAAGTTCGGATGCGAAACCTGAACCTGGAATCGGCTATAATGTTCCCACGCCCGAAATTCCCTTAAGCAGAACTCCTAGCCCCGCCAGTATTCCAAGACCTTTGACCCCACAACCGCCCATACCAATACTACGACCTGAAAATACAAAACATGACGGCAAAGATGAACTCTTATATGAGGAGGAGGAAGAAGAAGAGGAGCAGCAGCAGCAGCATGAGCAGGAGGAGGACGAAGGAAGGTCGTCATCCAATCTTGACGAGCATGAAGATAACGACAACGAGGTCGACGAGCCAGAGGATGATGAAGATCTTGAAGTTGGCACTATAACCAATCATAATGTTGAAAGTGAAGAAGAGGAATTAATGGATGTATAGAGATTAGTCATTGATCTGTCTTTGGTTGTTTATGATGGGAATTAATGGAACCTTAACCATTAAGAACAATCGGAACAATGCCTTTAAAGTTAATAATCCCTGGATAGATGTTATCCATCCGGTCATCTACGATTTTTTTAGACCAAGAGCCATTCATGGTTTCAGCCTGGAATTATAATTTCTGTTTCGGATGATTTGTAATTTAAAATAAAATTTCTACCCACATGACATCAATACTTATTAATATTACTGTGCGCACGTGACCTATCACACCAAAGTCCATGGCCTCACCATGCCTCATCTTACGGGAAATATAGAAACCGACCGTTTTGTTTCGATAATGGTGATACGTTACGTGCGCACTGTAATATAATAATGCACCCAATTAAAAATAATTCGGAATATGCATATTAGGTTGCATTGAATGAGAGTAACGGCGCGAAAGATTTGCAGCAAGCTGGACTTTTTCAGAGTTGATGAAACCGAACCGACTTTTCAATTTTTTATAGTTAGAGTCTCTAACTCAGAGATTTAAAAAGTCCCACAGTGCTATGTTGCATTTTAATTAGTGATTTACATTTACATTATTTTGATAATAGTAGTAGTTTATTATACTCCATACAGACAGGGCTACTACTACCAGCAATTCCATCTTCAATCTCTCTCTCTTCGCTCTGATTGTCTGTCGGAGAAGGAAGTTACAAATTGTACTTGTTATTGTATTATCGATACATCGATTATGCAACTCCTGTCAAAGTTGTCAAAACTTCCGGTAGCCAATTGTGGCCTCATTATTGGTACACAACCACAGAGTCGCAGTATTGCTACAAAAAAATGGTACTTCCTTCCCGAGGTTATACCAAAGTCAAAATCACGTTTCATGAGGCCCCCGGAAACGACTCAAGCCTTGCATCATCGCTTCGTGTCCTCATTCAAGACTCAACAATTTGCAACGCCAAAGTCCATCGCAAAATTCCACGCTATTGATGAGCTATCACCCAAATCATTTACATTGATTTACAAGTCAGGTTTCCAGTGGTATTTAATAATCGGACAAATAACTGTTCTCCTAGCCATTGGAGCTCTTGTCGTTTTCATCCCTTCTGCATATATCCTAAACCAAGTTCCCCCTGAATCAAAGATCAAACAAAACCTGGAGACTAAAGCTCGACTAATGGAAAGCGAGAAAATTTCAAGAAATGAACTACGAGTCTCAGTTGGACTTCAAGAACCAAGTGACCCTAAAATTATTGAAAATGTTCCCAGTGTTGCCGATGTCATTTCCGACGATTTTGACTATATCTGTGTGTTTCTGGCCTTACTTGTCCTAATGAGCTTTAGTATCTTTCGGCTAATGACAATGCTACCCGTGAGAATTTACGTAGGGCAAATGGTATGGGTGCACATTTAATAAATAATTTGAAAAGTCTATATAATGTAATGTATTAATTTAAATTGAAAAATAACGGTTGTTGTTTAATATCGACAGAATCACTGTGTGGGAGTGTATTACGGGAGCATAATACCTGGGAGATTAGTCAAACAAGATTTTGTCGCAGGAACATTGAAGCCTCTTAAAAAATCGTACGGAAGCCCTAATACATATTTCAAGGATGGTTCAGGGCGGACTTATGTGCTATTTGAACACTATTTTCGAAGACCGGCAGACTTCAACTACCTCACCGGATTCACAAAGGCATTTGATTTGGGAGAGGATTCAGACGAACTTAGTCAATTGAAAAATGTTGGATCGTTTGGCACTAACCCACCAAAGAAGTAAAATAAGTGGATGCTAATGTTAGTCGATTGAAAATTTGTATTGCAACATGTAAATAAAACGTGGAATAGTAGTTCAAGCTAAATAACATGCGTCCATCGCCTTTAATAATTTCTTGCAATGAAAATCATGAAGAAGGGGCTCTCATAAGAAAAGTTTCTATTGTCTCGTTTCATCTTGTTCCATGGTCTCGTGTCTCTCATTCACCGCCTACCATCATACGAGTGCGAGGGAATGAAGGTAAATGTGCTCTGCTTTAGTCAGATTTGTGTTGCACTGCACAGTAGCATTGATCAAATTTGTTTTGCGACCAGCAAATTGCGAGACCTTATCTTGAATTTCATATAAATTTTTATCGGGTATCTGCAGTGCTGCAGTATGTCAGCAGGATCTGGATTTGATTTGAAGATCCGAGATGGCAATAATGAGAAGAATACAACACTACCAACTGCTCCACAAAATTTTGTGACGCCAGGAACAATTATCACAAGAGAGCCTGGATTCATGAGGTTGTAAATCTTCAATAAAATTGCCATTAATTACTACTAGCTAGCAGACGGTAATTATTAACACACGTAATTATTATTTTGCTCAGGGGACATGGAACATACGTATTTAAAGATGGAAGTCTGGTAGCTTCCGTTTGTGGAACGGTAGAACGTGTCAATAAACTTGTGACAGTAAAAGGTGTTGGCGGTGTTTATAATGGAGAGGTATTTTAAATAAGAATTAAAATATCATTAAATCCAATTCATCAACTGTTTTGCCAATATTAGGTTGGCGACGTAGTTGTTGGAAGAATTGTTAAAGTAATGCAGAAGAGGTGGAAAGTTGACATCAATGCTCCTCTCGAAGGCGTTTTACTTTTATCCAGCATTAACTTGCCATCAGGGGAACTTGTAAGAACTATTTAAATTTAATTATACAGTAACATGCAGTAAGATTTTGTATGCATATATTTTGCAGAGACGTCGTTCGGCGGAGGATGAGCTTGCAATGAGAGAAATTTTAAAGGAAGGTGACATGATAAGTGCTGAAATTCAAAGCGTTTACAACGATGGAACTCTTGCTCTTCATACTAGAAGTGTCAAATATGGAAAGGTGTGCACGAAACTTCGGTCATTCATCAAATACATACATGAGTACATCACCGTGCACTGTCCTTATATCTGCGCGGCTGGACTGCTGTCCCTATGGGCAGGAATCCTCCTCACATAATACATACATACTGTCCTAATATATAAAAATAGTCATCTATTTTTTTTACTAAATTTGGGTTGAATTTAGTTAGGACCAGGCACACTAATCAAAGTTCCTGCGTCACTCATAAAGCGAAGAAAGGCTCATATTCATAATTTGCCAATCGGAATAAGCGTCATCCTTGGAAATAATGGATATATCTGGATATCTCCATTGGCGAATGGAAGGATGCCTGGAACAAACATGGAACAAGATGAGACAGATGGTCAGAAACCTGTTTTAGAAGAGGTTATTGTTTCCACATGAATTTCCACATAATATTATTCGTAGTCATCATCTACAATATACGACGAACTTTATTTTGTAGATCAAAATTACAGGAACGGATAGATTTGCAGTGGCTCGAATTAAGAATTGTGTTGCTGCCCTTTCCAAGGCATGGCTGCCAATTTATGATACCAGTTTAATGTATTCATACGATTGCAGTATGAAGTATGAGGTAACGCCAGCTAATTCAAAGTACATATATGTTGCAGAAAAATTACGAATGCTAATAATGCGACGTAGTAGTTTAAGATCTGTAATTTTCCTTATAAATAGTGTAAGGAGTTGCTGAAACCAGAAGCTTTGAAGGAAATTGGAGAATTAGTTCGAGAGCAAATGTCTACTGAAGGATACATGGCTTGATTTTTTAACAGATTGATGTCTCTGTGTACATTTTCTTTATTAATAAATTTTGTTACCTTATCTGTATCTACTACAATTGTGTAGCAGCCATACACTAATGTAATTTAAGAAAGCACTGAGATTTCTATAAGGAGTATGTATTTTGCCCTAAACAAAGTTTTGTATTTAATTAAGCATTAGAGTTTGGGTTTCATTTTGAGATTACTTGGATTATTAAGTATCTATGTGGTGGTCTTGAAAGCTTCATTAAGTATTTTGTATTTATATATATTTAGTATATATAAAATGCGTAAAAATCGGTGAGAATTTAAAGTTATATTACTCAACATCACGTTATCAATGTGGACGTTTTGAATTTGATCTGTTGAAACCATGGATTGGCATATATGGAGGAATTGGGTCGTCGGAATTATGGTGAACTCTACTTGAAGATGGTCGTTGGGGATTAGGTGGAAGTTTTTTTGGATTTGCCTTAAAACCAAGAATACCTTCACACGATTTCTCTGGAATTCTGGGTGGACTGGTAGAGGGTGTAGTATCATTCATTGTCGCCTTTTTGAAAGAGACGTGCGTTAACTCTGAGGCTGTATCGGAAGAAGTTCCGGGGTCATCATTTGAAAGTGACTTATTCAAAGTAGCAGCTTCTGCCTTCAACCTTGCACGTTCTTTCGCACGTTTGAGCCTGGCTTTCTCCTGAAATTAACACTCATTCGGTCAGACAATTATTATGAATAACTTCTTACAGTGTTTGTTACAGTTATGTCTATGCAGGATACCTTGTCATAAAGCATTTTCGCAAGTTCCCTATCTTGTGCTTCAATGGCTAGCATCTTATCCTTTTCATACTGTTCAAATTCGTCTTGGACCTGCCTCGCCAGTTCCTGTAAAATTCCACAAGAAATGTTACGTTGTGTTGTGATTATTCTTAACAATTCATTTCAGGTTTCTTGTTACACAGATTCATGTTGATTTTTCATGATTGATTACCGAGTGAAAATCTAGTCATGTACTTTTATCATGCACCAGATTCCCACAGAGTAATAAACCAAGAATACGAGATTCTGGAATACAAGGCACCCAAGTAATAAATATTTTCAGATATGCATGTAACAGTAAGTACATGCATATGAATAAATTGTCCCTGCTGCGGAATCCGCAGTGCGGATGCTTCAAATGTTTATTGCTTATTAACTTATAAAATATACAAAACGAATCGTTCTTCTTACCGCATCCTTTTGTTCTTGTAATTGTTTAAGATCCTCTTCGTCCACAAAGCTGTTGAATCCAAGTCCGTGATTCTCTTTATTCTCCGCAGCAGCCGATGTACTAGGCAAACAAGAAGCTCCAAGTAGTGACGCGTCCTGAGATGTTATGACGGTATCCAATTCATTTTCGTCTGCATCTTCTGGATATACTTGAGATTCATATTTTTGGGCCAACTTTTGTGCAACTCGAGCATCGTCCTCTGCTCTAATTTATACCCGTTTAGCATTAACACCATACAACATTTAATAACGCAGCCATCAAAATATTAAACATGAAAATATGGCCTTACTGTCTTTGAAGGAGACTTAAATGCCGTAGACGCAGCTCCAATGCCTGTTCTTCTTCTCTGCGTTGTTCGTGTCTTCCAATTTTCCCATCTTCCCTCACTATCGCATTACGAGTACGGTTTCCAGAATAGTGAATATGAACTAAAAAGAACAATCAATTAGTAGCGATGACAGACATCTACTCAGCATGGAATTTCTTCCAGTTCTTCCTGAATCTTATTTCGACGATAAGCTAAAAAGGTCTTACTTTCCTCATCCTGCAACCTGTAAACCAAAATAAGGTTTAATACGAAATTGAGAATAATATAAATCATTTTAATGACAATTTAGTTTTACCTATGAGCTAGAGCTTCGTCTTCGTGGATTGCCCACTGACGCCTAACTGTACCAAATTAAATAACGGAAATACACAAAATTAGAAATAGTCCAAATTTAACATTATTCTGTTCAATTAAAAAACTCGTACTATCTTGGACTCTGGCACAAGGAGACTCTCCGCCTTCAGCACGATGTTCAGGACACGATTCATCCAACGACTGCATTATCAATATTTTTCGTTTGTAATAAAATTACCACAAGTGTAGAAAATTACTATTAAATTATATCCACAGGCTGACATATCAGTTTAAAATTTGTTGAGTATGTATGAGTATATGTATGAGTTGCAAAATTCTCATCTAGTTAAATCATTTCTCTTCTCCTCCCCCAATATCCTAGAAAATATAATTTTGCTAAACGGCAGAAATAACTGGCACTATTAGCGTAAAAAAGTAGTTAACGGAAGGAAATCAAAATGGGTCAAAAATTAAAATGTGCACGTTTAGTATTGGATTGAAGAATGTACATATCTAAATAGTATAGTATAGTCAGAAAGAAAGAGTTGTAGAAAAAAGTGGAAAAGTGGAGCAAAACTAGAACTATGTATGTACATATGTATGTGCTCTCTAAACGAACACAAACAATGCTCAACACTCAACGATTCTCATAATAAAGAAAGCTTTGTTACGAGCAAGAGATATTCATGATGATTCACCTGCATAAAATCTCCCTTCTTCCTTTTTTACTCCCAGAGTACCACTAAAACTCAATCACAAAATATAGCGTGGAATGTATGTGAAACTAAGGTTGACATGAAACTCAGTTACCCACCAGCTTTTCCTATTTATTTATCGATGCAATTTTAAACTAGTAAACTATTTTTACTACCATATTCTTTGGGTATATATTCGTAGAGAGCTTTTATTTTTCATTTAAATTGGCATTCGTTAATCCATAAGAACGTAACATTTCATAAAAATAAAGCGGTTCACAAATACCAATGAATTGACAAGTCATTAATTTTAAATCATTGATTAATACATTTTTATACAAGGGTTGGACGCAGAGTTGTTGATGGTAAGTAATAGTTCTAGGTTGTTTAATACTGACTACCAACATTATTGTTGTAGAGAGAATAGAGAACGAGAATCATATATCATACTGTATTAATCACAAATGTTTCATACTTTTGTGACATGCAAATAATTTAACAATCTGTCAAAAAAGCTGCTATTGATATTCGTCTCATACCATCGAATATATACATATTTACGAGTACTAATATAATAACGGTAGTCACTCGTCACTAATCCAAGTACTATCTAGTTTGATCTTCCTTCTACTTTATGATATTACTATTACACATCAATGACGCTCAATTAGCTATACGTTCAATGTGTAGCCAATGAATTATTGTTGATTAAGATGCAGTTTTAATCAAGTTCAGTGTTTTGCGCTGCATCCAGTATGATTTCAAAGGAGAACGGTAGAAATGGGTATCCTTGACCCTGATAGAACTTATTTTGGAACTCGACCCTATTGAGACAAAATTTTATTAGAAAATATCATTCATTAAAAAGCATCGTTGAAAAGTAATTTGACGGATAAGTTTAAAGCTTGCCAGTGTAATCGAAGCGTGTGGAGAAAAGCTGATAGACCTTCCATAAGTATCAGAATTCCAAGGGTCAATACCGCCCACGCTGCAAAGATTGCCCATAGCACAATTCCGCCATACCAAGAAGTTTGAGAGAGCCCAATTCGCATTACCTGATAATTTAATTAGCAACTTATATATATTTACTTGTATATAATTTACAATAATTTAACAAAAAAGTGAGAAATGACAATCAATTAAATTATGTTATAATAAGCGACGTCGGGATTTCACTTACCATGCTCCATAAAACTTCCGACAATTCTGTTAAATACATATGCATATGTCAAATTGCGTTGTTCAACGTGTTAAACCTACTTCACATGTACTGTATTAAAAATAATTTTCATACGTATCAGTACTTACGTGCATGTGCCAAACTAAGGGCCTGCAAATAAGGAATCGTTTGCTAAGTCTCTCAACTTTACGTTGAACAGTAAAATTTAAAAAATAAAATATGCTAAACATACCCAAAGTCGTAGATATGAAGCAGTGTTTGAAACGCATCCAAGAACATATTCAATAGTGTGAATGGCTTGGTGAATGCAAATGTCACTGAACTCTTCTTCATGTTCATGGCTAGTTCCAACAGCTCCAGCACTGCCATCGATCATTTGAGCTTGCGAGGCATTAGTTTCTTCCATTAAACCACCAGCATTACCATTGTTGGCCTTCAGAATAATAAAAACGACATACATGAACTAGGTTTTTAATCTTTGATATTGTGTAATGTCCTTGTTATTACCTTTAGTAGTTCTAGCTTTCGTTCCTTCCAAATCAAATATGGTTTCCCACAAAGCATCCAAGGAACACACATCAAGGCAATAAAGACCAAAAATTTCTGAAATCCTTCTTGACCAGAATACCTGAAAGTCTCAGTTTTATGAACAACTGGCCAAAGTTTATACCAGAAGAATAGTGTATCATAGTGTATCGTACATATAAGGGTCACAATCTGGAACTTCTCCATTTGGAGGGTATGACGATTTGAAAAGGACCATATTGATGAATGTAATTAATATTGATGGTGCACAATGTGCTCCTTCTTCCTTCAAGCCATGTGCATCTATCAAAGAAGAAACGAGGGATATATAAGTAAGTACAAGTATACACAGTATGGGTATAATACAAGTATATTTAATATAATTTGCCGACCTGCAACTGCTGAATAACTGCACCATTTGTGAAATACGAGGAGACACAGGTAAAAAAATAAGAAGGTCATGAAAATAATTTGAGGGATAAATTCGCAAATTATGTTAATCTGTCGCCGGAAAAACATGTGATTCCACAAGCTTATCATGACTCCAAACAGCATATGACAGACTCCAACAATAATTGACACCTTCATTTTGTAAGCATTCAGAAATTGGATCTTGTTCTCAGCCACCTACATAGAGTGCAAATTAGTTGGTAAGTACATAATCAAAGTTAGCGTAAAATTCAAAAACCTTGATAAATAGTATAAAAACAAGACATTTGTTACTTTATGCATCAATAATGCTTTAATTACCTGCCACACCGGGTCCAATCCAAGAGGATATGCTTCGTCAGTAAATGCGTTTTTAGGATCCAGCATGACCTCTTTTTCTCGTATGACACTCATTGTGGTGTACGGAACAAACCATTCGGATCCAAATATATTTAGAGACTTTGAGAAAAAATCGTTGTAAATCAATCCAGTGTACATTGAGAAAAATCCCATCAAACAGATAATATATTTCCTACAGATGGATAGACATGTATATAATATAATTAAGAATGTTTATTACCATCATCGAACATGTAACTTACCCAGCAAAGAAAATGTTCCAAATCTGAAAGCATAGACGACGAAATAGTAATTAATTAAAAAATAATTAAAATAACTAACACTCAAAACTTTATGAAATTTACGTACTTCGCTGTTAAATTTTTTGTTCATCAACGGTTTCTCATTCACTATCATCCACATTGCAAATAAAGTCATAATGAATCCATGACCAAAGTCTCCAAACATAACCTGTAAAAATTAAATTAAATTTGTAACAAAAATAAATACGCATTACATACCTAAATACATTGCATACATATGTATAGATAGATACATATGCATATATATGACAGTTATGCATTAGTCATCCTTATTGGCATGTATCTATGCAAAATTGCGTTGGATAATAATTATTACTACAATTGTTATCCATTTCTACACACTACAAATATATGTATAGTATATATGTATTTAGCAATCAACTTGACTCGTGATTGTTTTGTTACTCACAGAAAATAGGAATGGAAATGTAATTATTGCAAATGGTGTAGGATTTGCTTCACGGTAAGTGGCCACCTATAAATAACAAACGTCATACACATTCAAATTTATTGGATAAGAAACTAGGAGATTATTGATAGTTATATGACGTAGGTTCCTTTGTAGATTTGTATTTATATAGGCATATATAATAGATCGAAATCTTACCCCGTAAGCGTCAATCAAAGCTTGAAACCCTTTGGTAAACTTATTCAATCGAAAATATGTTGGAGGCGTCTCTTTGGTATCCATTTTATTTAGAATAGGAGGAACAGAGCTTCCTGATCGTTCCTACATAGAAATAATAATGTATTCAATACTACAGCAAGAACTGTTTATTTCAGTTACAATACTCAAAAGCATTTACTAAACTTACAGTTCCGCGTCTTAATGCGTGATGAATAGATTCTAGATCGGCTATGGGTACCCAGCACTCAGCAATCTATTCAAAATTATAATTGTTTGCAGTAAAATCTGATATGATCTATTCTAATTCATTGATTCTCTTACAAGACATTTTTGGGTAACATCCAAGTTGAAAAGATTGAGTGTATGGTAGATTGCTTTAATTTTTCGAACTTTCGTGAACCAAGTCTTCAAGTTTTTAGCAGCTGCAACCAAGACACGGTGTCGATGATCTTGAGTTTGATTCAAAACCTGAAAACAAAGTTAGTTATACAAAAATGAAGTAGTTCTTGACCTTAATTATTACGTACAGTGTTCAAATCCTCAATTCGAGTCATGACGCCCACTGCCATTTCACGTCGATCCAAAGGCGTTTCAGGACAAGGATACAATGTTCCTCTAAACCCTAATTTAGTTTAATATAATAACCCATGCAGGAAAACAATTCTGATTTGCAGATTTACTTTATTTGACAATTGTTCAAATTATCTATACCTTCACAGATTTTCTTCACTCTTGTTTTCAGTTGCTCTCCTTGGAAGAAAATGATGAAAACTGACTTAAACACTTGCTCTCCCTGCAAATATTTTTGTTTTAGAAACAATGAGTAACAAATAAATTTTAAGAAGCTCCCATATATAAATATGTATCACTAACGCTAGCTGGATCACATAATGGGTCATCAATCTCCGCTTGTCGTAAATATACATTGCCTCGACAAGCCCTCCACAGCATCCTCTCAAAAGCTGGTATGCGTTCCCTCAAAATTACGCCTGCGACAAATCTGTTTCAAAACATTAAATAAGTAAGGTTCGAAAGTAGGAGGACCATCTACGTATTCAACCATTATTTCTTCCTTTCACATTTGTTTGATTATTATTATTATTGTTGTTGTCATCATAATTGAAGTGAAAGGCTGGAGCAATATTGTGTTGCGATAATAATAATATATGCAAATGATTGACAGTAGAACATAAATTTTTAATACAAACATAAATACCCGAGTTGTCCAGTTTTTGCAACAATCTCAAGCATATGAGGCTGCGCACCATACGCGTCTTCAATTAGATGTGCTGTCAATGACTCGTCCACTTCTCTTGTTTCTCGCTTTAGAAGTAAAATTAAAAATAAATACAGACAAAAAATAAACATTTCTATATTGATGATTAGTATAATTCGTCCAAACATGGAATTTTATGTACAAAGTTTTCAAAGCAGTGAAAATTGAAATAATACAGCCAGTCACACATCAACGTCACCCCGGTATTATGAAAACGTAAAAATTCATAAGACAACCCGATCAAACTTGCATATGTGTATTATATCGCTCAAGCCTTTCCCAACAATTGCGGTCAGTACAGTGCACAGAAGAGTTGTTGTATATTTGAAAAGTAGTGTGAGAAGAAGCAATTATGGTCATAGAAATATAACAAATTATTTAGTCCAAGCAAGATTACCCCAATTTTAGCGATTGGCCACCGGTGCGAAGACCTTCTTCGCCCAAAAGGTTTGCCTGTTCGTCCTCTCTGCTGCCATCTGCAGCCATCTGAGAGTAGGAGTACGAGTTATGACAGTAAAGATAAGACCCTTGAGCCTATTTCTTGTAAGCACGCACGATCCGCAAAAAATGTCCAACAAAATATTGCGAACAAGCAGGAAAATGTGTCCAATTTTAGTAAAATGATAGGTTCCAAGTTTGATAAAGCAGCCAGTAATTGACCGCAAGCGAAATCGAACCAAAAATAAATATAAATACAATCATAAAGTTAATATAAGAATATCTTGCATCTCAATATAGGGACTTAAAAATATTTTTGTAAAAAATAGTAAATATGATGCAAATGTGCGACCGTCCTGAAGCGCACACACATCATTATCTCACTGTACAACTAAATGGCTTGAAGCAGTGTTGTTGTAACAGAGAATAAAGTTATACAGCAGTTTTCCCAAATAATAATAAAGGCTTCAAATCATTCGTTTCAGCCAGTAGCCAAACGCAAGACAAACCAGTAAAAATTAACAAGTATCAAAACTGACCTCGTCAAAGAAAACCTGAAATATAATTATAAATATTATGCCTTATTACACTTATAGTATACTAACAATTTTTACAAATAGACTAACGACTAACCTGAGTTTTCTTTAAAATGTGTTTTAACTCTGTGAGTTCTAGGAAATTCCGCTTCAAAGCTTCTGCATTCTGATTTACCTCGCGGAGCTCATTCTCTAGTTTTTCAAAAGTTGCCTGAATATATTAAATACATTAAAATATTAGAAAGGAGTTAAATTCCTTCGAGTATGTATGAACAAGATTTTTAAAAAAACTAGTAATCTAACTTCAAGATCAATCATTTCTCGGGGCTGTGGAGCTTCAATTATCTGCAATTGACAAAATAATTAACATTACTATAAACATTCAGTCATTACATTACTTTTTAGATGAGAAACTCTGATTGAATTGAATAATCCCTCAGTAATATTACCAATCTTTCTTACCTCGCCAGAATCCATGATAGGAATTCCATCTTTTTTTATTTCTTTTTCTAAATAGCGAAGTTTCCTTTCCATTTCGTCACATCTTCGAACTTCGTTAACGAATTTACGTTGGAATGCGTTGACATCAGGGTTTAGCTATATACATTAAAAAGTTATTACATGATTATTGTATCAATGAAATGCTGCATACTTCAGTTTATGCAGTCATACTCTGTTCATGCCCAGGGCATTTATGATATGCTCTCCCGACATTTAAATTAATTTCCCAAATTAAATAAACGTGACCAATGTAAATGCAATCAACACGTAGTCCCTAGCATTGTACAACTTAAACTTCAAGTAAATTATGAGACATGTCGTACTTACATCTCGAAACTGTGCTAAACCCAATTCTCCCAGCTCTGAGACGCAGGCATAAGCAGCTTCACTTTGTAAGAAGAGTTGACACAAGGCCATCTCTTCGCTTCGAAAAAGGGATCCCATTGTGACGTCGAAGTTCCCCTTGACAGATCCGGTTACTTATCAGCTGGCTGTCTGGTGTCGCTGTCGGTGAAACTGTTATTTCAATCACACATAAGTTAAGGGAAGGCAGTTATCTTAAATCTAGACAAATTGAAGGTTAAAAAGTAAAGGTACGCCCGTGAGAAACTGTGAAAAACGAGGTGACAAATATGACGATGGATGCAAGGGCACCATACTACACATGTGGTACCGTGGTTAGGACTTTCTCTAGCAGAAGAGCGTCGTCACGTCACACCCAACAAGAGAAAGTCGGAATTTATCGGAGAAACAACCCGGGTAAACATGCAAGTTCGTATTATACGAATCGTATAATATATGCGAGAGAAAGTATGCGAAACATACAATGTGCAACCTCAAACTTAGTAACAGCTTGAAACAAACTGATGTGGGTTCACTCACGATAACTATTTATAACGATAACAATTTAAAAGAATCCAAGTTTATATAATAAATAATACTAATGTACTGAACATGTAAGTTACATCAGTTACATGACGTAACGCGACTACTCGACTGAAACTCATTTCACTCTCGTCGTGTCATAAAAGGTGTATAGTTTGTAGTTGATGGTAAATAGTTTAGAGACCCAGTAAAAATACAAGGCGATAAATGGTACTTACCGAGATAAATATGAAATGAATTATGGGATTAGGGGAAATCAAAAGATTAGCTGCTAGATATCTAAAATTGAACCGCGACCTCTTATATCACATTGTTATTAGCTTTGCACCTCGGTGACGAGTTTGTAATACAAAATGTGCATTACAAAATTTGGAAAAATTAAATTGTTTTAATTCTTGGAAAGAGCAACAAAATTTCTTCCTGCTGTGTTGTTCTCGCGCTTTGTGAATGACTCAGAGTCAGAGTCTCGCGTAATCCATGGAGTTCAATCATATGTACGAAATAGAAAACCGAGTTTGATTTTTTATACTGCAAAAAAACACAAGTATAAAGACAAGTGACAGTAAAATTTAAATTGCAAATCTGTTCTAATTTGTGACATACTGATTTGCGAGGTAACTGCTATAATACCATGATAGAGCTGTGTACCAAGAGGCGAATGATCATCTCTATTATTGCCTTAGGAGTGTAAGTTTGAAGTTTTTATTATGCGTGATTATTGTGAATAAATTGTCAATAAATTTAGAAACTCGAAGAATGATGTACCAACCATACTTACATTTAAAATATGCACGCATGACATTTGTTACAGGTTGACCGTAATTATTGTACTTTTGGAGGAGAAATTAACTTCAGATCCTCACTGGAGTCCTACACCCGTGCCTCAAAGTAATGGTAATTCAACATTTTGATCTAAAATATGGCTCAATATAATTGTGGGTATATTTTAGTAGCAGTAGTGACTTTCCAGTAAACATACAAACTTAATTTGCATTTCACCAAGTTTGTATGTTGTATATATTTTTGTGAGGTAATAATAAAAAGGTTGATAATGAAGGTTTTATATAATATTTCGCAGATAGTGGATTCAGTGCTACTGTCCATAAACCCAGCTCATCTTCAAGTCCACAAGAACAGACGAATTGTTGGGAATTAGAGGAGTATAAAATTGTTGCCGAATGCTCACGCTGTACTCGTAAGAATATATACCTACTTACTGTATCATAATGCATACACAACACATGATATGAACCTATTTCTTACTGTGTACTATGTTTTATTTGTTTGTATAATTGTTTAGAGATCGAAATCAACAGTGGAAGCATTCCTGCATGTAGACTCACGGGCCTGAAGGAAACTGTTCACTGCAATATTTCTGGTGCATTTTTTAGAAGGTGAGTGAGTTAGTCATATAACGAATGCCGTTGATCGATGACGTAAGTTTATTAGCTGAATTTGATAAGCTTGTGAAACGTTTATTGCAGCTGCTCTGATGTTCCGAGTGTAGCCAAGACAAGATTTTGGATCTTTGAAAGTCTTATGCTTTTTACAGCCGTTGTTTCTTTCGGATTTTCTCGATATCGAACTAGTATACTTGAAAGACAAACTATTAAAAATATTGAGCGTCGTCTTGCATCAGGAATGTGAAATTGCATAAATGTGAGGAGGTAAGCAATTAAAGAAATTAATTCACCCAGTAATTTTCTATTGTGTAATGTTTATCTTTATTTATTTATTTATTTATTACCTACAACAGAAATATATTTCATAGAAAAGTAAATCCAACCTGATGCAATTTTAATAAGTGGACCTTGTCTCTACTTAGTGCTCAAGACACCAAGTACAAACTCCTTGCTTTAAGATGAAGAAGAATAACAAGGAAGCCAAGGAAGAGTTTTACAGACAAACCAAAGGTTATTTTGATAGCATACAAAGTAAACCCATCCTTCGTCTTCCTGTCTACTCAACGAAGCATTTGACAACTGGAGAATGGGAAATAATTTTACCCCCACAAAGCTGCGATATATTGTGGATCTATGAAGTTTATCAACTTTTCAAGTGGATTGAGGTTGCATTTGTAAGAATACTGCCATGCAAAATTGATAATGAAGATGATAATAGCTGTGATACTCCATTCAATAGTCTCCAAACTCAAATATCTTATCAATGTAAATGTGATCCAATAGTGAAAATGTTACAGTCCTTTAATAACTGTGATGGTGATTTTGATGCTAGGTTTCGAATGTACAATTTTGCTTCACATAGATTAGTTGTGCTCATTTCAGAAAAGCAATGGTTAATTAGTGGTCTCAGCTCTATTCTGAGATTTATGATCAAGTTTGCATACATGAAGTTGAGCTGGGATTCTTCATCAAGTTTGCCATCATCAACAGAGGCACAGTCCTTGCAAGAAATTTTAGGGTTTCGAGGTGGATGTTTACAGGCATGTTCTGAGGTTTCGGTTTGGACAAAATTTTGTGAAGTCGATATATTTGAAGGCTTAGAGGTTGCACTAAATGTCAACGGCACGAAAAATGAAGTATTGTCAAGAGAATTACTCCGGTTTGAATGCCATCTAAAAATGCCTGTCAAGATGCATAACATTAGAAAAGAAATTAGCAACAAAAGACGACAACAGGAAATGTCTCAAACTATCAAGAATGACAAGGTTTCTCCTATAGAAATTGAACATAAATTCGCAGAAGGACCCCGAATGCTACTATCAGACTTAATCCTCTACCCATGCATTTGTCTCTTCCACTTGCTCTATGGATCCCAAACGTGCGAAAAATATTTCCCAAACATTTATTCATGGTACTCGACTATGAATGAAAGGTTTCATCTAAGCAAAAACTTGAAACTACCTGGGACTACAGCTTTCCAATGTCGCGAAACTGGTTATATTTGGAAGATTCCTTGTATCCTTGAAGAAAGCTTGTACAAGAGTGATCGTTCACGCTACAATCCAAATTCGAGAGTATTCACAAAACAACATGACGTGTTGGACGCTTTGGCGGCAATTAACCTATCGAATATTAAAATAAAAGAGGTCACCGACGTCGTAGAAGTTCTAAATTGGGAAGATATACCAACTTTGGCTCAACCTGAAGGAGGGAATCTACCCCCAAGTAGACGAGAGAAGAAAAATCAGCAACTATCCAGCATGACTGTAGAAGTGATGAAAATTGTCGAAGCGAAAAGCAAACAACATAATTCTACCTCAAGTCCCATAAGAATTGTAGATTTTTGTTCAGGCAAGTACTATTAACTAATTAATAATTACATATATGATAATTTATCGTGTGCTTAATTTTACAGGTGGAGGACATTTAGGTGCAGAACATTCTTATAATAACTTTAACTCTATGATTGAATTAATATTTTTGACATTAAGTACGTGCTGGAAAAAATGTCTGATATGATCAAAGCAATTTTATCGCCAATAGGTATCTTGCTGGCTTTCCTACTTCCTAACTGTCAAATAGTTTTGGTTGAGAATAAAGAAGAGTCTCTACGCCGTGCTGGAGAAAGAATCGACCAGCTCAAACTCACAAATGTATTGCTGTATCAATGCAATTTGGATTACTATTTTAGGTTAGTTATTTAATTATGATACTATCTCAGTACTTAATACTTTTACTACAACAAAACATGAGTTATTGGCCTGTATTATTATTATTATTATTGTATAATGAATTATTTTGATAGCCAATTCGAAATAGGTGTGGCTCTTCATGCTTGCGGTTCATCTACAGATCTGGTTCTGCAAAAATGTATTTCCGCAAATCCTCCGGCTTCATTTGTATGCTGTCCGTGCTGTTACGGTAGTGTTCAGAACAATCACATGCTTCATTACCCGAGAAGCAGTTTATTTCAAGAAAGTGGTATTTCCTTGAAACATTACTTCGTCCTTTCACACGCCTCAGATCAAACCCACGATGAAGAGAATGAGAAGACGGAGCAAGGGAAACTTTGTATGCAAGTTATTGATACTGATAGATGTCTAGAAGCACAAGAACATGGATATCAAACAGTTTACCTAAAGAAAATTGTTCCTCAAACTGCATCACCCAAAAATCACATTTTAGTAGGCTATAGTATTTGATATGTATATGCACCATTTTTCAAATATCTATATCTATATATCTTTTATACCAATTACTCACTCATTGAATATGTGTTACATATGTTTCTTTGTGTACACTCTCTTTGTGAATACGTCTTAAATTTAATTTATCTATTAAATACCCACTAAAAAATATGGCTTTGAACAAATGTGTTGGTGATTTGTTGATTTCATTCATCTCATTGTTTCCCCTTGAGCGTTGAGCAGACTTCATACAATAGTAGCTTTGGCAGTTCCTGACCTGAATAGGTCGTGAATAGCGACCAGGAAGGAGATATATATATACCACGCACGCTATGCACATTCTACAATTTACCCTAGAGACATTGGATAGTTGTCTTTTCCAATCATACCGACATTCTTAAAATTGGATTGGACATTGAAATCGAAATCATTATCAACCGGGTTTGATATCTGAGTGACCTCGTTTGTTTGGGTAGTGCTAGTTCTCAAGGCTTTAAAGATCATGGACTCTGTCCAATCTGATATCCTTAGAATTACATGGGAACTTTATCCTCCTCTTCAAGTAAACAACTATTGGCTTTGCATAACTAACTGGTTCTCTCACAAACAAACTCGACTTTCCACGAGGGTGAGAGAGAGAGAGATAAAGTGAAAGTGAATTGGAAAATAGAGTTTGAAATTTGGCAGATATCCGGCAATTTCCTCGCATGAATTCTCAATTCGACTCTCCTCACCATGTCCACCGACACACTCTTTGCTCTCTCTCGTGACGTCTTATTGTCTTACAAATGTAATATTACATGCCATATAAACAAAGTCAACTCGTTCCACTCCCACTTGGTCGTCGTAATCCATGTCGTGTCCGTGTGGTGGGGACATAATATTCAGCACGGTCGGTATACTGAATGCTGAATCCTGTACTTTGACAGTACTAAGATGATGGTTGCTAGTGTCGGGGAGAGAGAAACCGAGATTATTTCGATTTCTGCTCAGATAATTCAAAAGAGGTTTCCCTTTCATCCATTTCCTTTTACTTATATGTTGGGCCGCATCTTTCCCTCTAGTCCTAAACCAAACACCCTGTGGCTTTCTCCCTTCGTCCGTCCTGCACATTTAGATGTACTCGCTCGGATCATCTCAACACAACAACAAAGGATTTCTCTCGCTTCTCCTTACCAACCAACTCTATCCGTATAACACTGCACTCGACTTAAAGACAAAAGCCATCACATTTCACACTTTCGTCCGGTAGTGATTTTCGATCTCTTTAAGCCGACCAATACAACAACAACAATTGAGTGTCTATCTCCTGCCTTTTCCATTTCAAAGTCATGCCAGGGTCGATTTCGATACTGCTAGTCAGACGAAATTCTATACAACTTGATGTGTTTTACAAGGGAAAATAACTCGGAGGTGTCCGCATTTCATAATTACGTGGAAGCTGATCTGCATAGGAGTCATAGCTCTAACCCATTCAAATTGACCTTTTAACTTAAAACTTGAATACAACATAATTCGTAGTTTGACAAATTATTGACCTGCAATAATGTAATGGATTTTCTTGGCTGTTTTCAAACTACAAGGTATTGATAAGATGTTATAATTGATCTGATGGTACACACAATGTAAGTAGTTATTGGAAAGAAATTCAATAGAGACACAGCATAAAATTCCATTTGATACATATCTATCTATATGGACATGTATGCTACGTAAGGTTAGCCAAATCTTTTATTATAGAGACTTGAAGCAAGATAATGGAACCATTTTATCGTCCCATTTTTCTTTGTGTCACATGTCGAAAAGAACTCGAGTTGTGCTACTATTCCACTCCAGCACTAAGGAATGATAAATGATCACTTAAGCCGAAAGTCAGAAACCGTTGATGTGTTTTCAGTTCAAAACTGTCGAATTGAAAAGAAAAAGAAAATTTATACACTGCAATACATAATATTTCTATGATGCACATATTACTCACCATCCCTTCCAATGTCCAGCACTGTGTAATTTGTATTTGTTTTGACATTTGACAAAACCCATTGGCATTTATTTGCAAGGGGAACAGGAGCTGTAAATGTGCAGTAAGTGAAAGTAGTTCGAATTTCATTTCAGGATTCAAGTTGGATGTTTGTTGAGCAATATGTTTGTACGGGTAAAACACAATCACTAGAAGTGTCGTGGTTAAAAAAGTGGGTCAGATGGATGTAACAAAACCAAACATTTCATTTTTAGCAAAACCATTCAATGTTACAAGGGCTATGGCGAGTCTAAAATGTGGTAAAAGCATACTTTGTTCCATAACAAAGCTTTCAATGACCATTGTGTGATGTATCCTATATAATCAATAACTCCTCTTGTTCACTTTCCGGCCACGCATCTCTGCAATTCATTTTAAGAGAATGTAATTAATTCGAGTTCTTTGTTGAGTGTGTTTTGTGTTCCTCTCCTGCACACGCAAGTAAATTGATGTCTTCTTGCTTTCCATACATGTGTTTTGTAACTACTCATAAAATTTCGGATTATATGTAGCTTGATTCGTGTCGCTAATTTTGTTGAGTACTCAGTTTAGTCAGTTTACGATAACTTGCGTTCCCCACGACAAAAATAAACCGTTACAAACGAAATGCAACAAAGGGGCGAAGCCATATGGAAATTTTACGATTCGCCACACTTCCTCAAAACTGCATCCTGTCTTTTTTCTAGCCATTTCTAGTATTGTCTCAGATTCCTTCAAAATCTTAATTGCAGAAGAAATTGACTCCCGGCACACCAACCAGTCAAAATAGTCTTATGGAATGTAGAACACCACCATGAACAATGTCAACAAAAAATTCGAATTTCGTCTACCACACCCCCAGGAAGGGGTGTATCCCACGACCACCATCTTCAAACTTGAAACTCCCGGGCAGATTAGAAACACTTGGCGAAACCCAAATGTAGAAATTCATACCCGTTCTCGAGATATCATGGTGCGGACGGACAGACGTACACTGCCTAACCATACAGGGGGTTCACCCTTTAATAAGGAATCCACGTCAACTTGAATGAATTACTCATGCAGCACTGCATGCATTGAGGCTTTTAGCATCCAATTACGCGAGTTTGTATACAAGAAACGCCAACGCATCATTTAACCCTTTCCTTCGTAACGATGGATATATCCGTCGCCGAATTTCGAACGTTGCTGCGGAACAATGGAAATATCCGTCGTCATAAACGTTGTGTTGTGACGGAACAGAGGATATTTCCATCCTAATTTTTAAGGCGTTGCGACGGAGCAACGGAATTATCCGTTGTCTCAAAATTCGGCATAGATACGGAAAGAAGGAAATATCCTTTCCTCTGGTCACTGACTTTATTGCGTAGCGAAGGATATTTCCTCTCATTGAAAAAAATATTTTTTCCATGGATTTACGCATTTTGAAAAAAATTCGATTTTTAGCCCGAGTCAGGGGCTATGTATGTATGCATGTACATGTTTTGTCCGGTGTGTCTCTGCCTGCCTGGTTATCAATAACTCTCGTAAATCTATCCTATCGACTTTAAATTTTTACTATTACTTTGCCATTTTTAATTTTCCAAAATTTCAAGTTGATAGAATAAGATTCACGAAGGGCAAGACGCAAGACGGACGGATGGACAACACAGGTACATAAGTCCTGGGTCGGGCTGAAATGTCTCCATGATTACGTCATATTTGAAATGAAATGCCTCCACAGAAAGTTGAATAATTTTGGAATTATATCCATGGAACATATCACTAAAATTTACATTTGCTCCGTGATATAGCTTTGGTAATTAAAAAATTGCTACGCCAACCTGTGGTTGCGAGGCGTTGCTATTCCGCAGCAACGGGATATTTTTGAGAATTCTCTTACGAAGGAAAAGGTTAACACCACAATTTTGGAGTTGTTGTTGCTCTCTCTATTTTTTTTACTTTAATTGCTTCCAAGATGTAAAATGGTTGAATTGAAACAACCCTAAAATCAAAGAATCAGACAAAATAAAATATTGTAAATTCTAATTCATCCTTGATGACAGTTTAGTCTCAATCTCATTGCAGCAACATGTTTTAACGCGACGCTCCTTTTTTACCATGTCAGTATTAATTTACCAGTCATGCATCGTCTCCGTATAATAAACCCGTACTTGCGATACTTAAGTTATGTTTTTAACCATGAATGTAAATTTTAGCAAGGTGAAAGTATCTACTGCTCCGTTCAGTTCTGATATTTTTGTAACAAGAATGGCATGTCGTTTTCACTATAACTTTGCAGGATGGCAGTTTCATCGTACGTAAATAATGGGGCTTTGCTCAATAAAATCATTTCAAAAGCCTTGCTGTAGGTACGTAGGATAACCAAGTTGATTGCAGTTTAGTGAAGAAATAAGTGTTGGTGTAATCTTATTCTACTCGTCTTTCCAAATTAAATTGGCGAGATATCTTTCTCTTTCTCCCAGATGTCATGATGCGATTGGAATTAAATGTGTAGTTTAAACTTCATTATTGCGTCCTTAAGAGTTCAGTTTACAGTTGTCCTTGGTGTTGCAGCAGGACAGAATAGACCAAAGAGGCTGAACAATGAGGACGGCGGTGGAGATAAGTTGGCTGGCATTGGATATTTGAAGCCTTGAACAACCGGTTGAATGGATTTCCATCAGTGAGAGAAAGTGGCTGTAAAGGGAGGAAGGGTGTGGTGGTCAAATGAAGAAACGATGAGACCAAGCTCATCAACCACCAGGCTCAACATCCCATAATCAACGAGATAAAGGGCGGAATGACGAGAGCGAGTTTCACGAATGAGAAAACCGATTGGTCTCTCACAAAACGCAGCCAGCTTTCACTCAATTTTCGAAGGAACGTTGGACTTGAAACTCTACAGAGAGTCGTTGTGACCAGCAGTCCAGGCCTGCTACCGATTACGTGGCATTGCCTCGTTGCTGTCTGACGAGATTTCTTGTGTGAAAATGGACCACAGCAACTGTTCAAGTCTCACAATGTTCATTTTGGTCACCGTTTCAAATGTTACGATCCGCCGTTCTCATTTCTCGTCATCGGCTAAAAAAATGTGCCGCGTAAGCTACTTTGGTCATTGCTATTTATTTGGCCTATGGGTTACCTATGCCTGAAGGGAAACTGCCAGGGTCATGTCATATACAGCTACGGAATCACTCTAACTGGGAT